TTATAATATGTATTATGCACGGTCATTATTTTTCAGATAAAATTTAATTCTAGATAATTTTCTGCTATATTTTAAAATGATATTTAAAAGAGTTAAACATCCTATCAGCTAACTCATATTCATGAAAACAATATTCTATACATTCATGGTAAATGAGGGAAAAGGTTTAAAATTAATTCATATTCTAAAAAATAACCCAATCACATTTACAGTTTTTTAAAATAGTTTGTAGTAGAATATTGAAATTTAAGTTATTCTTTTTAAAACACATGAAGGGATCACTATTATAATTAAATACAAGTATTTAGGTTTTTTGCAGGGGCCTTTGCAATTAGTGAATATTCTGTCATGTAGAAGCTAATCAAAGTTTTGGAAACTAATCTATTAAGTATGCGTCCATGTAGATTAGACGTTATGAGCAAATGGTGAGGGATTTTTGGTGCTCGAATCAAGTGAAATGCAGAAAGTAATTTGGAAATAAGAGAAAGGCAGGTGTTGAGGTGTGTTGTCCAAAATAAGGAAATTGTTTTTTTTAGGATGCAATGTAATGTCGTTAACCTAGCTTTAAAACTTTAATGTATTTCGTAATCCTAGTTATGACCGATTGTGATTAAATATGTAAATAAAGATTCTCCCAAAAAATTTACTATTTTTTTAAAATAAAAACTTAAGCTCTTTGGAGCTTATTAAGCGTTTCAGTGTTATTTTTCAAATATTTGATGGATTAAATTAATATTGGAACACTCGATAGCGCAAACCCGTTAACGAGGCCCTAACCTAAGAAAATTACTATAAAATGAAACTTGAAATGATGATTGAGCCGTCTAGTGTTGTTATAAAATCCGAATCGGGTCCATTTTCAAAAATGGCTAGACCAAAATAAAATTATGTGAATTTCGATATTTTTCTCATAGATAGCACAAAGGTTTGGACATCTATTTAGAATCTCGAGGTCTGTATAATGTTAATTTGGCTAAGATCTTAGTCAGTCTTTTTTTAACATTGAACTTTTTAACAACACTAGAACTGTCTAATTTTGTACACACAAATCTAAATAACATGATGGAAAACAACAACGCTTATTCTGAAAGTATTTTCTTATACTTCGTTAAAACACATTCCAAGGTTTGAATTTGATTAGATTAAAGGACAAATATTTCATATTATATACCATAAATGATATATATTTGAATGGACTCTACATTCCTGACGATAAAACCAAAAATAAAGGAAAGGAAAGAGAGCAGGTAAGCTTTGTATGTATAGTTGTGTTTTTGGATATGAATGTGAAATTTCCGATGATAGCAAAAATGATTAAACTTGTAGATATGAATTGATGTTTACCATAAAGATATCAAATGAGAATAAATTTTAAAACCGTTAAAAATAAAATAATTTTATTTTTATAAAAATCCTTGACTATATAATGCCCAAATTTATATATTTCTTAAATTGAATTCACTAATTTTAGCTTATAAATATAATATTGGAATCAGAATCCATTATAGCAGAGTTAAAAATATTAGAAATGCTAAGCCTCATTGAAAGTGTTGTTTCAATCATAGAACAAGTAACGTGGGCTACCGCTATGGGTTGTTTGCGAAAGCAAATTGATATCGGTGATTTCGAAAATTTCCAAGTGAAATTTTACTCCTATTTGATAAATAACGTGATAAAAAAAAGTTATCAACAATAAGAACACAATGTAGGATATTTTTGAGAATAATAAAACGCTTGGGATATTATTGATATTAGAGATTGGCATCACATAATATTGAAAAACACAAGTAGTAAACAAATAACAAATTTTTTAAGCCTAAAAAATATCCAATATCCAACGCAGTGAATTAATATCAAAGACGTATTGAACAAATGTTGAATAAAAGATTTAAATATAAAAGAAGTAAAATAATAATGAACCCTAATAAGTATGGAAACTACCAACCTTGCAAACGCATGTAAGTCGTCTAGTGTAATACATCAAATACAGACACCAACGTAGGAAATTACCAAAACAACAAAAGACAAACCGATGAAGAAAATGTTAGCGAACCAAAAACAATAGCGCACTAAACTAAAAAGAACCAAATATGTTAAGCTACGGAATACAGCATGCACACAAACAAACTGTAAGACAATATGATGCTGTTAGAACAACGAAAGGACTATCTGTCTAAGACTTGTAGAAGTAGATTGTGCTCTTGTGAATCCGTATAATTTTGTTAGTATGAGGTTAAAAATGGTGGCTACTTATAAATTTGTTTATTAATATTGTGGAGTTGTAATAGTATAATGAGTATGAGTAGACAAATAAGTTGGAAATTTTTTTAGAGGGGCGGGGGTCGATTTATATCCTGAGATTCGTTGAATGAAAGAGGTGGGGAAAGCTGATATGCACATTTAACAAATAGGAAAAGGTTTGCGTAAAAAAACAAAAATTAGTCGCATTGGATAAAAGGAACAATCATAATACTGGAAATAGCCCGATTTGGGTCGATTTTTCGAAATAACTCGATAAATGTTTTACCGAAAATAATAAAATATAAGTATCCAGATTTGGCAAATAGATGTCTAAGCGTTTCTGCAAGCTATAAGCAAAATCTTTAGGCTTAATGTTGTTATTTTTAATAATCTTAATTGGGCCACTTTTAAGAAATCAACCTGAATTTGGCTTTTTAACAACACTAAGCAACAACACTAAGCAAAACATTATACCTAAAAATTCTAAAGTAGCTATCTCAATTGAGTAATGATTATAAAGAACCGAAAAGCGTGTGATGAAGAATGACAAAAAATATAAAATCGCCAGAACGATTGATTAAAAACGGGGGCATCGTTAGCTAGGTAGTTAGGGTAGTAAAGCACCCCCTTTCTGAAAATTAACACCAATTTTGAAAAATAGATTAGCACTATTTTTGAAAAAATTGACACCTTTAAATAATTAGCTTCAATAATAAGAATTTTAAATGGTATTTTCCTTAAAGTTTAATTAATTTACTATTAAAATCTTTTCTTTTCGTCTTAAGCAAAAAAAAATGCTGAAAATCAAGATAATATTTTAAAAAATTATATATATATTCTATTTATAATAATTTTATAAATTATTAATACATTCGATGATCTAAGATAACAAAAAGAAATGAACTTGATATGGTACATGTTGAAGTTTTTAAATTCAATATTATTTATTTTTGGACTTAATTTATTAATATACAAAATTTATCAAAAGGCTGTTATATGAAAGGATTGATGAGTTAGCGTATTAATAGTCTATAATTATATATATACTACATAATAAACATATATTTATATCAATACAAATATATATGGTGATTAACGAATTTAGTAATTTATAAGATATAAATAATATATTACATTATATAAATGATACATATATATTTTCCCTATATCAATATTAATAATATGATTCCATTTAAATATAATACTTAAATTACTAAAATTTTCCTATTAATTTAATGTTTATGTTGAAATAGTCCCATCTAAATCCTAAAAAAGCAAAATCCTAAGAGAAACTTGGTAAAAATATTTGACAATCTTTTTTGATAATTAGAGTTATTTTAGAATTTTTTAAATAGGGTTAAACAATAGAGTTTTTACATGCGATAGATATTATTTGATTAGTAAATATGAATTCATATATATTGTCTTTAATTATAGTGAGATTTACAAATCTAGAAACATGAATTAACCCTGATAAAAGCTGTCAAAGAAACATGGGTGTGAAGCTCCCCAGAAAATTATATATAATAAGAGTGAATAAATTTAGAACTTTTAAAAATAAATTAGCACCTTTTAATACCCCCTTTTGTAAAAAGCTAGTTACGTCCTTGATTAAAAATATATATCTTAATCTACGAATAATAGTATGGGGCATAGTTGTACATTTGCTCAAAATAAAAAGATCTTCAAAGATCTAAAATTTGAAGATCTTTTATTTATAAAAAAATTTGAGCAACGATCTTAAAAGATCTAGATCTTTGAAGATCATAAAATTTGAAGATCTTTTATTTTTTAAAAATTTTGTGTAGCGATCTTCAAAGATCTTCATGATATTTTTTTTTTGCCCCTTTAAATATTTTTTTCTTTCATCAAGGCAGGAGGAGAGGTATAAAACATAAAAGAAATAATATATTAATAAAATTGAAAAACATCTGGGCTTTTAATAAAGGGGTAAAAAAATAAATATCATGAAGATCTTTGAAGATCGTTACACAAAATTTTTAAAAAATAAAAGATCTTCAAATTTTATGATCTTCAAAAATCATCTTTTAAGATCGTTGCTCAAATTTTTTTATAAATAAAAGATCTTCAAATTTTACGATCTTCAAAGATCTTGTTCAAATTTTTGAGCTAAATCTCGCTCAAAAATCTTCAAAGAAGATCTTTTGTACAACTCTGGTATGGGGAATAGAAAAGTTGAATTAAATCCTTGTCAAATTATCAGAGAGAGAAAATATTTGTTGTGTTTTATGGAATTAATTTTATGTATGAAAGTGATTCTTATTATTCACAAATAAATGTAAATTTTAAATTCATAACAAAGTTATTAAATTAAAACATTAAGGTTTCAACTAAAAGTATGTTATGCTATCTATAAATAAATATTTTAATGTTCCAAATAATTGAAATAAATATCAGTTAATAATTTAAAATTCCTTTACCAATTCTTTTCCCTAAATCTACAAATCTAGTTAAATTTATAAATACAATAAGCATATTATTAGGTAAGCATGTATTTTTATTAAAAAATTAGTTAACTCATTTATAAACACATATTAATGTTTTATGAATATTATATATATATTTATATATGAATATTAAGCTTTTATACTTAATCTCTAAAAAATATAATCTTATTAAAAGCTAGTATTCATCATAGGTTTAATTTAATAATAGATACTTATTACAAATTATAAATATGTATAATAAAGTTAATAGATAGTTAGTAAAGGTAAGTGTAAATAATATTCAGTCTTTCATTCAAAATGAAATATAAGAATATCGAAGAAAAAACTTAAATTCAAATGGTTATAGGATGGCAAAATGTTTAAGAAAGTGGCAAGTGTTTCCTGGAAAAAATCGTTTCTATTGCGATGGGAGAATCATTATGGCTCGTCAAACTGGAGTTTTTTACGTCACCTTATTCATAATTCTGGCCACTTCCATATTATTTTTCGCATTTGAGTAATTAATAATTTTATTTTAAATCTGTATATTTGATTTATCTTAGTACTTTGATTCTATTATTTATATGTTCTCTTATTCAATATATTAAGATAATTTATTCATAGAACTTATTAATTATTTTCTTTTTAAACAATATATTTAGACACAATAAATACATATAATATGACAGACACCTATATATTTATATATGTGAAATTATAAAATTTCATATTAATCTTTTAACGAAATCTGTCACTAAACCAAAGTTGTTTCAATTAAATATATTCTAATAATTAGAGAGCTGAATTATAGGAAAAGGTATAATATGAAAAAATATAATATAATGCCTTAGTTCATAGGTGACTTAGGGGGTGCCCCACTTACTCACATATAATCTAATCGGTATCCATTTTATGTTTACATCAAGAAGTTCCTTAACCACTTAGGGAGATTGGAAGGGCTCAGAATTATTCAAAATCTTAACTGCCAATATTTTTAGCCAGCAAATTTTTATTATTAATTTCTTTTATGTTAAAATATACCTATATTTATCAGTAGAAATACACATTTTAATATGATTATTTTTATTTTATTTGTCTATTATTTTAGTTTTCTTATTTTATCCTTGATAAAACCTATTCAAATAAATTTAAAATTATTAAAAGTTAAGGTTAAATTTCTTTGTTTTTTTTGAATAAAAAAAGCATTATAATATAATATATTTAAATTAAATATCTTTTATGATTCATAAAATTTTATTTGTCATTATCAACATTGAAATGGTTATATTAAAATGGTTAATTAAATGTTTGAAAGAACTTTTATAACTAATTATATATAATTTAATTTTATATTCAATATTTTATCATTTAATTATACTATATATATAAAGCAATAAATTTAATTACGCAGGTGGCAATTTGATAAATATAAGTATCATTTTTCATTTCCCTTTTGAAATATTTGGTAAATTTATTTTGAAATTTAATATATTTTAAAGAATAGGTTACCTCTCCACTCTAAATAAATTTATTATTGAGACTATGTCCTAGCTTTTCATTTTCTTTAATTATAAATGGCCATACAAATAGAACATGATTTTTAGACTAAAAAAATAAGAACAAATACATCTTTAGGCGTTTCTTAAAAATATCGTCTCTCACGTTAAAATCTCTTTATAGAATTAAGACAAGTAAAAATACAATCATTTTTCTTTTTTTCATCATCCAATTTTTTTCTAGTTCAATATCCCCCCCCCCATCACTGAGGCTATCATATTTTTTAGGCCCTCAAAAAATCTTACTTTTTTTTCTCGATTAGGGCTTCCCCATACCTAGGCTGACGATGCATTCATAGCATTTGAAAGCGTCGTTGAATGCAAATCAGCTGGACCCACCATTTTAGTTACCCATATAACATGTTAAAAAACTACTAATAAATTGATTCCTTATTATCTCGATGATCAGGCATTTTCTTTAAATAAAGTTTGCGTCAGACATAGGAATAAATTGGCCTCTCTTTTTAAATTTTTTTAAATAATGATATGGGTAACCAAAATGGCGTCCCCAGCTGTTTTTCCTTCGATGTACACTTTTGATGGAATGCATCGTCAAACTAGCACTAGTTATTATTATATGTCATTAGGCCTCCCGCATTTTTAGCGTGGTTAAATTTCCCTTACCCCGAGGAACTTTAAGAAATTTTTATTTTATGTGCTTAATCATTTCCCTTATTTTTATACTACCTTTGTCAAATTATATTTTTATTGTTTTTTTTATTATTTATATCTTCAAAAAAGTTTTATTTCTTATTTTTTTTGACAAAAATTTATTTTTATTATACTACCTGGCACACCTCTATATAAATTTTATTTTTTGTCATTTCATTTTATGATAAAAATAATTTTAAAAAAATATTTATGTGAGGTATGATTTTTGATTTAATAAATATCGTAACAATTGTAAATAACAAAAATATATATTATTTTAAAAGAAATACTGGTAATAAAAAAAAAGAAAGAAAGAAAGAAAAAGAAATTGGCAGACAAGATATATTGTATCCCGTTATTTTTATAAAGAATAATTTTAATTATATAATAATAATAATTCGTCTCAGAAGGTATACGATCCATTCATTCTAGGAATCCTAATGGCCTATGGTCAATCAAAACTGTGAAATATATTTAGACACTAGTAAGAACTAGTTAGTACCTAAAAAGTTGTTACTTTAGTCAGCGTTAGCATAGCGTATTATATTATTATTTAAGAATATGGTTATAAATTTTTTATCACCCCCTTATACATATCTCATTTGTTCCACAACCTCTTCCCGAACACACTTCTAACCTGTAACTTACCAAGAGTTAATTATTCGATCAAAGACAAAATATTGAGTGTTAGCTGCACTTTTTCTGGGACCGGGTCCGGCTTATGGACACTTAGAAATAAGGGATGCTTCCGGTACATACCTCGATTCCAATTCGAGCTATTTCCGGTTTTATAGATTAACAGTGGAAATTTATTTTATTTATCTAGCAAGTCACAAAACAATTACAATATAAAAATTGATTATTTTAGCGCCATTCTTTTTTTCTAATTTAGTAAAAAAAAATACATTAAAGTCTTTCGCCCCTTTATTTTAGTTTAAAAAAAAGTTGAATATTTTATTTTTATCGTTAATGTATAAACATATTTATGACACTACGTCCAAAAATAATTATTAATTCGTGTTCCTGTAGGAAAATCGATTTCTCTTTCCAACTTTTTGTGAATGCATATTATTCACTTAAAGATTAGTATGATGACAGATCATTTGATAAATTTAGGTTAGAAAAACATTGAATAATGTTTTGAATTCCTTTTTTTTAAAAAAATCTTAAACAGCAAGTGAATATTATGAATATTAATAAAATAATCACTCTGAAATAAAATCATCACAACAATTGGCTTATTTAAATTAGTCGTATACTCTTATCAGTCCATACACCGAGGGTTCCTGAAGATTTTATGTGGGTTCCGTTTCCGGTTACTTAGGCTTAGAGTTCCGATTCTTAATTCTGCACAATATTTTACGTTTCCTATTATATTTCGATATTGTTGAATGATTTGAAATCAATTAAAAAGGTAAAAAGTATTTAGATAAACAACATAAAGCTACATTTTTTTATTAATTTCGAATTTGTATTTATTTAATTTTTATTCCAAAATCGATATTATTTTATTTTTTTTTAATAAAAAAATTTGATTTTTTTTTTGGTTTTAGGTGTAAAAATGCAAGAGGTGATTGACCATATTGGTCATTAATAGGCTTTTATATTTCACTTTTTATTGAGCATAGCAACTGGGTTTTAGAATTTTTTAGTATTTATGACCAGTGTAGAAAATACGTTCTTTATGAAAAACATCAATAAACGCGATTTGTTCAAGCGGTGCGGTAATTAACGCTTCGTTATTTGCGTAATCAAGCCAATATAGGTATAATTTAGAAATATGTAGCGAAACGATGAAAAGGCTGTTATAAAATTTGAAAAACACATGTTGCGACGCGTATCTCAAAAATTGGTATCGCCCTGAAAAATCAGCTGACCTCGTCACTTTTACAAATCGCATTTACTATAAATGAAGCGTTAATCGAGATTTGTAGACCAATAAACGTAATACCATTACCTCATATCTCTTATAAACACTTAATATTTACTCAACATATACTTATTTTTTAATACATTCTTATTAATTAAAACAAAATTTAATTTATTGTTAACTGCTTGATTATTTTGATTTTTTTAAACTTATATTTCATTTTTTATTAAAAATTAGAATTCAATTTTAATATTCTTATTTAAAACTGGCTGAATTAGTCTTGAATTAATTTTACTAAAATATCCAAAAATAAGGGCAAATTCAAATAATTAAAATTTAAACAAAACTATGATTTTTAATTCAAAAAAAAAATCATTGTTTTAAATCGAAATTAATTCAATCAAATATCACGCAAACCCTTGCAACATTTTCGCTTTTCGTCTCCGCCTCGAATTTGATATCTTAACAAATATTTGGAGAGCGATTTCTTGTTTAAATGATTGTGGAGTAATTCACAGTTTTCCGCGCACGCTACTTTTAAGGGCAAATAAATTAAAAATTCGAAATAATAATACATTTCTTATTGCGTTAGAAATTCATGGGGAATTTGGAATCTCTCAACTGAGGTGGATTTTTTTATAAAAAGAAAAAATCTTATTTGACCGGAAAGAAACTTTTTACCTCGAACCTTTAAAACTACTCTTGTGACAAAATTGTCCGAAATTTATAGGGTAGGCACTATGAGTCGGGTAACGGCGATATGTCGGCCACGGTTATCTACAGGCGATTGCCGGAGAAAATCCGTTAATATTAAGGCCTTTTTAGCTGCTTTATTTTTAAGGACCCCCCCCCCCCCGAGGCCAATGTGATAGTTTCGGCTAAAAAACTCGGTTTAGTCGATTTTTTAAACGGTTATAAATGGGGAAAAATATAGTAATTACCTAACTTATAGTAATACTAATATAAGGGTATATCTCCCACCCTTTAGGGTTAAGGGTGCTCTCAGTTCTTCTAAGAGCAGAGACAGCTGTTTTAGTAAATTTGATGCGATTTCCTCCTTGTTTACCTTGATTATTGTTTATAACCTATCAGGAGGGCTGCTGGAATAACTTTGCTGTTAAAATCGGAAAGTTTTCTAATATTAAAAATCGCCCTCAGCTTAACAAGTTTCCGAGTCCCCACGGAGTCCAATACGTGCTCATTAGATTTTGTTAAAAAGCCATTATTACTTATGGATACCGGCATTCCCTCCTTCCCTCGTAATTATTTAATAATGATATATATATTTTTATTTTATTAATCCCTATTTCATTTATATATTTTTTTTAATTTTAATCCCCCTTTTTTTTTATTTCTTTCTTTCTTTCTTCCTTATTATTTATTTTATTTTATTTATTTTTTAAAATAAAATTGAATTTTTTATCATTTTATTTTTAAAATACGACGGTAAGTTTAAGTATAACTTTCCACATTACACCAAAAAAAATGTTATAAAAATTTCCCGATGATTTATTGATTAAGAAAATCTGTACTAAGGCTTAACGGTAATCGATAATGTGTCTTCCCCCCTTTTTTTATTATCACACATTCCACATTATTTATAGGATATCATATAAAACGAGCATTTCTTCGCTTGAAGATTATATTGATCTATCTGATATTTTCAAAATATTCGAGTTTAACATAAACACATGATTAAAAATGTCGGATATATTTTTTAGGTTTTTTTTGGACCGGAGTTGGAATACCGGGTTAGGGTTGTTGAAAAGTGCGATTTGGGTCGATTTTCGGAAAACAACCCGGTAAAGATTTTTTAGCTAAAATAATATTATGTAAGCCCGGAAATTTTACTTATAGATGGCAGAAAAGATTTGGGCTTCTATTTGCCACATCTCGAGGCTTACATGATTTTTTTTGGCTAAATTCTTAACCGGGCTGTTTTTATAAATAGACCCGAGCCGAGTTTTTTAACAACCCTACCCCGGACTGGTCCGGGTTAGTGAGTTTTAAACCCGGCAGAAAATTAGAAAAAGGAAGCCCCTACCATTTGAAATCGATAAGAATTGTTAAAAGCACAGCCTTGCGGGTAGAACCTTAAAATTTCTTTTTTCCCCTTTAAATTGATGCTCAGATAGAGCACTCCAATACTCAACCGTGACGAACAATTTATGGATTATGAAAAGTTGTATACACCGGGAATGAGGAAGGAAAATAATGAAACCGAGGGGAAGATTGGGGGAGGTAAGGAATTGAGGGAAGATAGAAATGAAGGGAAGATTTGGGATCGGGCAGAAAAGTAAGGGGAGAATGTATATCGAAATGAATGAGGGGGAAATTGGACAGGAAGTAAGAACCAAGAAAATATATTTGAAATTTTCTCATTTTTTTATTTTTGAATAAGAAAATGAATCTTATAAAAACGCGATCAGAATTTATAAATATATATTTTTATAAAAAAAATTATTATATTCTCACTTTATTAGACAAATTCTTATCGTGTTATTCTTTTATATTGGATTTTTTTATTTTTAAATTGAATTATTAAATATCTTTTCTGGTGGTTAAAAATTAGTGGAATTGTCAAATACATTATTTCTCATATATGTAATAGCCTGATATTATTCCCTTTGCTCACGATTCTCCACTGGGCCATACTAGCCCATCCCCTTTGACCCCACTCCCCTAGATATTATTTATATTTTGGATGCTTCTTTTTTTTTAAAAGAATATATATTCATGGTAAAGATACGATTTGAATGAACGGAGATTCCTACCTACTATTTGTGTTAGAGTTACGCAATTCGCCCAGAGGTAATCTACGGATTGCGCTCAGGCTGAAAAAATACTATCATAAGAAAAGGGTTGTTGAGATTACGGGATACTTGGATCGGTTAATGGTCCCCATGTTGAGGCATTATATTTAAATCTGGCTTAACCTAAATGGAATGATCTGGGCCCAAATCCGGACCAAGGGATTATTATATACGTGGATATGGGCGAAAGATTAAAATTGGTTTTTAAGATGTGGTCGGATGCAAGATATCGCCATTTTCAAATTCGTTTTTGAGAACTGTACGGCACAGGTTTTATGCCAACTTCTTGATTTGGATTTTAATGTGTATAACTCATTCAGGATCAGGAAATTAGTAACCCCGAACGGCATTAGGATAAGAATAGGACCAATATATGAATCGGGAGTAGGGGGGAGTTGAAAAAGGAGCAATTTTTGGATCATTTTTTTAAAAAATAACTCACCCTCAATCTTGATCCCCTTGAGGAGTTAAAAATCCATGTTCGAATTCCTCTAATTAAATAATCCACGAAAAACGTATTTTTCGATAATAAAAAAAATTTATTTCAATTTAAAGAATTTAAAGATCTCTTCTTTCCTGATATCATTTTTCTCGGAAAACGTTATCGAACGCCATTTAACAACAAAAATTAATTGATTAAAATTTGTTATTATAAGGCTTGATGTTATCTTTTTATTTTTTGGTTAATTTTAATTTTAATTTTTTTCCTCTCGAAAATTTTCGCATTTAAGAAATTGGCACTTTTTATCCCGAAGCCTTATCTTTTATCAAATGAATGAATGTTTAATTTTTTTTTTACAGTTTTTCAAAATTGTTAAATAATTAACCTTCTATAGTGGCGCACTAATTGAGCGTTTACGTTTTGCCGTAATTTTTAAATTAAATAAAAAAACGTAACGCGTCCCTTGTTGTTTAAATTGAGGTTGTCATTTTTTTTTATTAATATCCGTCTATTCAAAAATTTTAAACAAGTTTCTAAAAAAAGGATTCGTCTTTGAAAATTATTATATTATCGTCTGCGTTCTTATTTCTTTAATTATCGAATTATTCCTTTTTATAGGATATAATATAAGTAAGTTATTTATATTGCACATATTTATAAAATATTACAAAGCGAAGAATTAAAAAAAAGTAACGATAAATGGCAAACCTATTTCCGGTTTTTTTTTTAAATGGTTGCTAACGCCAAACGGTAATTTTACCAATGAGCACGAGACCATTTGAAAGACGTCATTGGCGCTTGCGACTCAGCGTTTATAACGCTCACTTTGTTCGCACCGTTAAACGTTAAACGTTAAAGTAAAACAAACTTGAGATACAAAGGTTAGAATAGCCATCCAAAAATTAAATTTATTTCTGCCCCAGTCTGGGCCGAACAATTTTATTAATTTTTTTTTCTTTATCTTTAAAATAGTTAAAAATAAATAACTAAAGTTTAAATGAAATGAAAGCATTATTATGTAAACCCCCGTAGAATTTTATTTAAATTTTATTTTATTTTTAACAAACGAAACGAAAACGTCGTTTTTTTAAAGCCTAACTCTATCCGATTCATTTTTTAAGGTCCAAACCTAATTTGACTCCATTGTTGCAGCTCTAATAACTAGGAATAGTCTCTGGTCCAAACAACGATTTTTTGGACATCATGCATAACCATTATTCTATTTCGATATTAAATGTAATTCGATCGTTTGGGCCGAAAAGTCGGCTTATATTGTGTTAATGGTTTCGAGATTTATAAATGAAAATCTCATTTATTTGTACAATCATATATTTTTCTGGCTATATCAAGGTAGGAGGGGGGTGGGGTGAGTGGGTTTAATCACTTTGATTATGTTGTGGTTTATCATGGATCTACTAAAATGGCCACTTTACGAAAGTTCCTTTGTTTGTATGTTTCTAATTTTTTTTCGGACTGACCCGGCTCGATAATAAGGTATTCAAGATCCGAGCATAGCAGGCCGTACAGGGCACTCTGGGTAGTATAAGTTCTATAGTTTTGAGCATAAATTATTATTAAATTTTAATAAAAATTTAAAAGATCAAGAAAATTTTTATACTTTTTATGCATAAGAATCATAAAATATTTACTTACAAAAGATATTTTGCCACAAAAATTTAGCATTCTGAAAAATATTTTTTAAAAAATCTTCAAAATCTTTGAAGATTTCTATAATTTTTTGAGCAAATTTTAAACTCTAGCTTCTTTTTTTAACCGTAGAATTTACTTTTATAAATGACCAGACCAAAAATTTTTTTGTTGACGAAAACCACATTTTTGTAACCTGAAACTATAACACCAAACTCTTGGTAACCGACTAAAACGTGAATCTATTTTTAAAATTAGCGGAACCAGAACCGCCATTTTGAGGAAAAAAATACAGAGCCGGAATTCTTCTTTTTTTAAGTATCGAGTTTCTATAAACTGATTTAAATGTAATATTATATTATCTTAAAAAAAACATCTGTTTAGTTGTCCATACCTATCTCGCCACATATCAGTATCGATTCCCATAGTCGCGTCCCTTATATTGGCTTTCGTTCTTTGCACCCTGTTTCGCACGAGCTTCATCGATCCGGGAATAATCCCGAGAGCCAATAAACAAGAAACCGACTATTTCGTTAAGAATGGTATTAATATTAATTACTAATTTATTTTTTTTTATAACAAATTGTTTTTCCTTCTTTTTGACCCCTTTTCTTTCGATCAAGAAAAGTTTATTTTTTTTTTAAAGCGACTAAAGAAAAAAGTAAAAAAAAAAAGTGGGAGAATTACGAAATAAACGAAAGAAATGAAGAGAGGAAAGTGGTGTTGAGTGATCGGCTAGAAATCTCGTCTAGGCCTAATTAGGCTTAGCCTGAAAATCGGTTAAGACTGATTAGTCAAAAACGGACACCGATTAAAGAGCTCGGCTAATCGTCCGTCAGCGTTGCGTAAGATAAACCTCGCCTTTATTATTTATATTTATTAGGTAACACTGAAGGACGATTTGTCTGAGCCTAATTTAATCTTAGCCAAACTCGGCTACTATCGTTTTGGAGTTGGTTTAAAGATTAGCCAATTGCGCAACACTAATATAAGGAAAGAAAAGAAAGAAAGAAAGAAAGAAAGAAAGAAAAACATGGAATAAAATTAAATACGATAAGTATGAATGGCGTAAATTAATCCATGGCTAAAAATGTTTCGAAATTATTATTAAATACACGACCTATAAAAATGCTTTCCGATTTTCAACTTTTTATTTTTTATTGATTTAAGAATATATTATTTTTATCGGTTTTAAATTAGAAAATGAACGTATATACAAAATTTCGGAAACTTTGAACACTTCACGGCTACTAAATAGAATCATTTTTTTCCCCCGGAAGTGATTAAAACCGATAATATTTTTCGAATTTTTTTTAAGGTTTTTTTTTTAAAATTTAAAATGGTGGTATGAGCTCTCCAATGACGCCATGCTACACTCTCTTCTTAAACGCTCGTATCTCCGTAACCGATAAAGCTAGCGAGCGCGATAAAATTTTGGATGGCAATAATCCTCGCAACAAAACTACCATTTGCGAAAGGCTTCATTTGATTTGAAAGATGGCCCCGCCTCCATTGTTATTTTCATGTTGAAAGATATACGCCATTTTTGTTTTTAAAAAAAATTCTAAAAACCAAATTGGCTTTACAATAGCACCAAGGCCCGACCGAATCTCGTATTCAAGCCCTCACCCTTATTTTTAGGATGGACCTGCAGATCTCCGAAGATTATTGTTTCGACAAACGAACTGTCATTTAATCGTTAATACAAAATATAATTTATTTCATCTGCCCCCCCCCTCCTTAACTTTAATATTTTTAAATAACGTGCGTTTTGTTTATTGATTTTTTTTTCTTCTCTTATTCGTAAAAAGCCTCTTTTTTGCCTTTTTTTTTTGTTTTAACAAAAACAAAATGGTTTCCAAAAAAAATCATGAAAGTACAACTTTATTAACGCTTTTAATTTATGTGTTCGTATTTCCATTTCTATCGTGTAATCGGCTAATTGAAAAAATTATGGGTTAAACGACGGGAAAAAAATAGTAAAGTCGGGTGAGTGGTGTAGGCCAGGGAATGGTGAAGATGGAAATGCTCTCTTGACCAATGTGCCACCATTTTTAACCCGAATTTTATTAGATGTCTCTTTTTTTTGTCTGGTCAATCGAATATCGCCATTATAAAATGAATGCATTAAATTAAAATAGAATGGAATAAATATTTCGAAGTTTTAGATTTTTTCCCTACACGTTTTTTTTAAAACATTAGGTTCACGGGTCCTCGTGCCGCCTGGACTTTTGATTGTGCCGGATTATAATCCTCCCTCCTCCACTTTCCGTCACCTCCCCTCCCCCTCCCTACTCCTCCAATGAATAAAATAATATGTAAGCCGTGAATACTAATTTAAAAATTAATAAATAATAGTTATCGTATTTTTCGATTCTCATATAATTCTAAGAGAATAAAAAAATTTGGTAACCCCGGTAAAACGTTACAAAAAAATATCTCTACTAAGCTTATAGAATAGGTTTTAGGATAATGGACCAAAAAAAAAAGAAAGTCTAAAGAACTAAGGAAAAGATAAATTAAATTATGCGGTGGGAATAGAAACCAACCTAAGTTTATAATAGGTTTCGTCCTTGCACCTCCGGAAGTTGATTTAAATAATTATTATTATCCCGTTTAAAAAAAAAAAAATTACTAAGGTGACATATCTATGCAACAGCCCGACCCGGCTAGCGTCAACAATGGCAATCACCGTTCTACCGCTAACGCTCCCAGATGTAAGGAGGTCCTAATAAACGGGCAGCTGGTCAAGCTAAAGTTTTGCTTTACCTGTAAAATCTACAGACCTCCTCGCGCCTCCCATTGCTCGTTATGCGATAACTGCGTCGGTAAAATATTTTAGGAGTTCGTGGTATAAGGTAGGGAGGCCACCCATAAAGAGGGTCTATTTGCCCCCCCCTCCTTACATTTTTTTGAAAGGGAGATGAGGGAGATAGGGTAAGGTTATTAATCCTCTATGAGTGGGAATAGATTGCGACAAATAATTCGGGAGTATTGGACGCTCCAAATTGTATTCCTCTCACAAAGGAGACGCGGAAAGGTAAGAAAGCGGAAATTTTTTTTATGGAATTGAAATATTTTCAATAGTGACTCTGTACACCCCCCACCCCCCCTCCACCCTTCTTGAAAAACCTTGAACTTGTGTGCCCAAATATTTAGGGTTCAAAATTTTAGAATTGCTTAGTCGAACATTTTGAAAATGCGGACAAAACAAAGACTAATTTATGGGCAACCCACGGAATTCAGGAATCTTCAGACCGGTACTGGTTTGGACCCCTAATAAAAATTTGGCTCCGATTATCAAAATTAGCCCTAAAAAGGTGGTTCAAAATTCGGGGTAGGAGGCGTACGAATACAAAACGAGAAAACGTACGTTTTTTTTGCGTTTGATGTATTTTTTTATTTTAAATTCCACCAGAACGTTTCGATCACCATTGCCCCTGGGTGGGCAACTGCGTTGGGAAGAGGAATTACAGATTTTTTTACATGTTCCTCATGTCACTGGCCGTCCTGTGCATCTATATCCTCGCGTGTTCCGTCACCCACATCATTATGCGTAAAAAAAAATCACATCTACATTCCTTTTTATAAAAATATCTTATTAGATCCTAGGCTTACCCTAGTCCAAATTTTGGAACCGTTCAAATCTGTCGAGGACAGGACCCATCCGCAAAATTATTATTAGATTTTTGCGCCTATCCGATTGTTTTCGGCATTGACCCGAACCGACCCGCTAACCGGTATTGGCTACCGCCATTTGTACGAATAAGCGGACAGAGCGGATCAGCTTACTCTACTGGAAATTTCTACTAATTTTCGAACCTTCTAGGCTTCATTGTATTTTTATTTAACGCAATTTCAATGTTTTTTTTTCGCTTAAAAATATAACGGTATCGATTTTTATAAATATATATTCAAAATACTTTCTATTAAAATATGCAGAGAATTTGGTAAAATTATTTTCAGGTCTATAAAAAAAAGAGAGGTTATTTTGGTTAGAATATATTCTGTCTGCCATACTGCTTATTTTATTAATTTTGATATTTTTATAACGCTTAAACTTAACGAAGTAATGAAGACCAGCTCGTTCATGGACGCCATCAAGATATCACCAGCCTCATATCCTTTTTTTTAAAAAAAATATTTTTTTATATATTACTAATTTATATATATTATCTCTCACTGCAAAACCGTATAAATAGTGCGCACATATTGAGCGTTTACGTTTTGCCGTAATTCTTAAATTACAAAAAAAACGTAATACGTCCCTTGTCTAATTTGAGGTTGTCTTTGAAAATTATATTATCGTCTGCCTTCTTATTTCTTTAATTTCTTAGATATTCCCTTTTTAGGATGTAAGTAAGTTATTTATATTTATATAATATTACAAAGCGAAGAATAAAAAACTCATTGAAAAAAACAAACCTGTTTGCTGTTTTTTAAATGGTTGATAACTCCAAACGGTAATTTTTCCAATTTGCAAGAGGCCATTTGAAAGTTTTCACACTATAACTAACATTTTTTAAAATTTTACAGAATAGACGATAAACTCAAATTTTAATAACATATTTAAATAATGAAATTATTTCTTTTTATAGTATAAGAAATAAAAAATTCAATTGCGCAAAAATTTATAAAAAAACTGATTTGCGGAATATATACGTATATTTTTTTGCCGAATTTTAAGAATAAAGATATCTCTAATGTGTATTTTTATAGTGCTGTTAAAAGGCTCGTTTTGAGCCGATTTTCCAAAACTGCTGACTCAATATTTTAGCCAGAGAAATCATAGCTGAGCCTCGAGATTTCGATAATATATGTCTGAACCTTTGTTCCTTCTATGAGCAAAATCTTCAGGCTTGCGTAATATTTTTCTGGATGAAATAACCCTTTTTAAAAATCTGCTCACAAAGAGTCTTTCGGCACTAGATTTTTAGCTTATTAGCTTATCTAAAGATATGATAGAAGAAGACATATCAATAATAATAATAAGTCTATTGTTGCTAAATCATCTAACTTTGGTCAACTTCAATCGGCTTAGCTAAGCTGCCCTAAAAAATTGACTTGAACCTTTAAATCGAGTCTCAGCTATAAATTTTAGGCTCTTTTATTTTTTACGATTTGGCTAATCTTGCATTCGTAAAGTTAACACGAAAATTCTCGACGAAGTATACAAAATATTCTGTATTTTTATGTATTCATTTAAAGTTAAAAAGTGCACAAAATTGCCTTTTAAAATTTTTTGTTGATTAGACACGTTGCTATAATCATTATCAGTTCAATTCGTAAAACAAGGGTCGCGTCAGCGTTCATAAATAAATGTTTAATATAGTGATACCACGTTTACCGTTCACCCTTTGAAAGCTTACGTTTAGTCAAACTAGTTAGGCGGTTTTGCAGTGAGACCGAACAACACGATCGATACATTAACTGTTATATCTTAATTCAAATATCGTTTACATAATATCTTAATTTTTCAAGATCATTTTTTGTATTAATTATTTCAAAATGATATATTCCATTTTGGGAGTAATTTTTAAAAAAAAGGCTTCCTTGCCATGAATTAAAGGATTCAAGTTCATTATAAAATGACCTTTTTATTTCTATTAACCATAATTATTATAAATTGTGTTTTAATATAAGAAGGTAATAATTGTATATGTATATATATTATACATTGGAAGGTTATAAATTGTGTTTTAATATAGGAAGGTAATAATTACACATATATATACATTGAGAGGTTGTAAAAGCATTTCATTTTTTAATATTTAAATGAATACATCATTTTGAAAATAATAATAATATAACCAAAATGATCTTGAACCTAAGACACTAAGCAAACGATATTTAAATAAAGATATAACAATTACATTGCACGAGGAAAATTAAGATAAAGGAATTAGAATTAATAATGAATGAATCGATGGAAGCCAAAATCGCTGAACAGGGTATAAAATCTTTCTTGAATCCGTTATTGAACATTTGCCTTAACTCTCTTATTATTTCGTCGACCAATCATCTATCCCTCCCTCCTGCGATGATTATTAATCCTCTCTCTTTTTTTTTCTCCCACTATTCACGTCAATCGTTTCGGTGATTTGCTTCTTCTCCATCTGGTCCATTTTAGGGCTAACTGGCTTTCACACTTACCTGACCACTTCGGAACAAACCACTAACGAAGATGTACAATATAAAAATACATGTTTATTTTATGCTGCTTTAATTATTTATTTTTAATTAATAAGCGTTGGTGCGAATTAGATTCCTATAACCTTCATAGCCATAATTTTACCAATGACATAATAATAATGCCTAGACTGACGATGCATTCATTAAAAGTTTACATCAAATGAAAACAACTGGGAACGCCGCCATTTTGATTACCCATATCATTATTAAAAATTTTAAACGAGAGGGCCAATTTATTCCTATGTCTGACGCAAACTTTAATAAAGAATTGCTTGATCATCGAGATAATAAGGAAGCGAGTTATCAATTTTAATGGTAGTTTTTGACATGAGAATAATTCGGATGTCTTTCCTTACATCAACCCCTTAATGTGATTTTTACACCTCGTCGAGGAGATGGGGATCATATTATAGACATAGTACATAGTGGACCTTTATAACCTCCATTAGCTACAAGAAGACGTTATCACTCTCCCGCCACGTTGAGGCTGAGGGTAGGATTTTTAAAATGGCGGGTCCAGCTGATTTGCGTTGACGTTTTCAAATACGTTATTATGAATGCATCTTCAGTCTAGGTAATATTGTATGCCATTCAATGTTACCCACCCATTTTTAAAGATTAGTCGAATAAAGGACTCAACAAAAATTGTTAAAAGCTTTACATTTTTTTTCCAAATGTTTCCAACCACATAAATAATTTTAATAGTTTTTTTTTGGCATCGTAAAACTAAAAGAACTCATTCGTTTTCCTACCATTTTCGTGGTAAATTAAAAAACGGAAATGAATTTTTATAGAATATTAGGGATGTCTTGGATCAAAATTTTATCCGGAGTTTCTGGTGGTATATCTAGAATTTATCAAATTTCTAATATTAAAATTCTAGGAAATTCTATTATCCTTTATTTTCAGATCAAGGGCACTTTTTCGTCTCGCAAAGGCCGAAACGTGATAAACCCGTACAGCACCGGTTCCCCCATTTGTAATTGGGTCAACGTCATGTGCGGCCCTATGCCACCGAGGTAGTATATGCGTAAATATTATTTTTTAACTTGTAACCTCTGATTTTGGGAGGCGGTTTTTAATTCTTGAGGTTAGAGATCCCCAAAAAAATCGCCCACCCGAAACCCCACCCGAGCCACTCGTAGGCGGATCATTCCATTCCAGTTCAGATAAAAATTCATTATCTGTCAAACATTTTAATTTCCGATAAAAATTAAATATGAAAAATAAATGGGTTACAGTTAATTCAAAAGACAAATTTGAAATCGCTGGCTTTTACATTACCCGGTGGATTTATGATGTCCAAAAAAAAACCCCTTTTTAAAAAATACCTTATTCGTTTGTGAGATTATTAGTTGATTAATTTTAAAAAAAAAACTCAAGCTGGATTCACAATAGGATCGCGACACCTGACACGATTTAACAGCTGATCAATTTTGAAAATCTTTTGATATAACTTATGATTAATGGAAATTAAAAAATAAATATTAAAAAGAAGAAAAATCGATTTTAAAAATTGATTAGCTATTATATTTGTAACTTGCTCCCAAACCTGTATAATATCCAATTTACAAAAGAATAACTATTCTGGAAAACAATTTGATGCCATCTATTGAGGGCTGTACCAGTCCTATCACTAGGACTTTATTTGGTCCCTTCTGAGTTAGTGCTGACCCAAGGATCTTCCCTTTAATAAGGTATAAAAGGACATCCCTACTACCGAGCATCCTTTGGTCAGCACAAACTTGAAAAGAACCAAAGTAGGTTTATCAAAATATTAACTTTTGAGCATAAAATCTGCCACAATAGACTCTTTAAAGGGAGGGGATGCTAGCGTTGCCGGTCTCACTCTCCGCCACATTCTTGCCTCTCTTCTCACCCCCCCCCCCCCTCCGGGTCGGATTCCACTATAATCCATCCTAAATTTAGTCTAATATTAAGTTTGGTAGAGAAGAGAAATATGTAGTCTTGTTAAACTGGCTCGATTTTTAAGAGCGTTTAATCTAGTATTATAGTATAGCCAAAAATAGAGATTAACGCAAGTCCTGGAAAATTCGCTCATGAATGGTAGAGAAGATAGGGTTTAACTAAATTTAGGGGTTCGCGTAATATTATTTTTTGGCCAAAATCTTAATTTAAAATAGAGGAAAATCGAACCGTTTAACAACACTAGGTGTGTATTAACTAAGTTTAAATATTGATAATTGGGGGGAGGGGGTGACAAAAGTATTTTATTTGTTTATACGTGATCATCTTATGATCTAGAAGTGAGTTTAAAATTAAATTATTTTTTTTCCCTAATTTTTGCTCGTTCAAAAAGTTAGCGAAAAAAAAGATGTCTAAGAAAAATTATACGACGCTGTATATTAATAATATTTTGGTGTTGCCGAAAGCATTTTTAAAAAAAAATGTTTTATAAGATTTTAAGGCATAATAATCGTTTTGGGAGGTGGGGTTTAATATCTTGTAGATTTCTTGCATATTGTATATATATATATATAAAAAGGCCTTTAGCTGCCTTTAAATTATAGTGTCAAATAATAAGTTTATTCGTAATATTATATGCGTTTAATTTTTTGTGAATATTTGTTTGCCGCGCCAATTTTAAAAAATTCGGTTTTTTTCTACCGGATACAAGATGGACCTCACACCCCCATCTTCTCTTAATTCAATCTTTCTTAATATTCAAATTCATTTTAACGAGTTCAAATTGCCATTTTTATCGGGGAAGGAGAAGCACGTGACTTGTTATGGAATATATAGGTTGAGTTCAGAAAATTGTCATGATTTTTTTAAAAACAAATTTGGTCATTTGGAAGGGTGGGGGTGAATTATTTTGATTTTCTGGTTGGATTGGGAATATGGAATTAATCTTATGTTCGGCAGGTAGTTTATGGGGGGGGGCATGTCGGGATATATTACTTCCTAAAGGTAGAATTAGGTCGAAAGAATTAATTAATCTCAATTTGGGGCTACCCCTACCCAAATAAATGAAAATGAATGTTTTCAACACCTTTAATCAAGCCTTATAGACCTGCGGGGCCAGCTTCCAGAAAATTCTACTAGCGTCCATCCTTCCTTAACTTACATTACTCCCACCTCTTCGATTTCCGGAGTCCCGCTTCGATCACCTCTCACGGTTAACGCGATCAATGGCTCAATCCTCGCTAATTCTTCCAAAACACACGAATCTTCCAAGAAAGTGCCATCCAAAGATAGTTTTACTGAGTGCCGCTTTGAATCTATCTACGGTAACGGAAAGAAAAAAAATATATTATTGATTTTAAATGTACTTGGCGGAAAATTATTTATTGTTATCAGAGTCAGCCATCGGAACTCTGAAAACGATGTCAAATCTAAGAACCGGAAATACAACTTCTTAAGAATTGTAAGAAACTCAAACCAAAACATGGACGCGATTGAATTTTAAAAAAAATTCTTTCAGAAATAAGGCTGCCATTTTAAAAAAATATATATGGTTGGGAAGCCATTTTTATTTTGGCTTCCAGATTATGTTTTTGACACTACATAATTTTTTTTATATATTTCTAATTTTGACGTCGGAATCTAAATGCATTATTTTATATATTTAATCGCAATAAATACGACGCCTTTCTATGTTGATCAGACCCCAATAAGATTCGCAACCAAACGGAAGACGCAAATCTCGGCGGAGCTTACTATAACAGGGTAATGGACTGGAGCGAGTCAGAAGTTTTTAAAGCCGATGCGCAGCATGATGAAAGGTTTTTTTAATCATTATTTTTCCGGATGTTAATTCTGCTCTAAAACGGAATTACATATATATTACTCCACTCTGAAAATAAAATCTTCTTTATTTTATTAGTATCTGGGGAGACAAGACTGGGAAGGGTGAACGGGGATCGGGCGACTGAATTGTTAAAATCTTAAATATATCGAGAAAAAATTACCTTCTTAAGTAGTTTACCAATCAAAAAAAGATGCTATTTTCTCCGTGCGAATACGTTTTTTCGAAGGATATAATCCCCACCATTCATAAAAATCCGTAAAAAAAGGTTTAATAAAAGTAAATACAAAGATTTTTCATCGAGTTTCGATCTTGCCCAAATTAAAGAATAATATATGATACGGGAATAAGGAAGAGAGAGTTACTAAAAACATAGTCAATCATGTGCAAAGGCCCGCTTCACAGATAAATTTTCCTAAACAGATGTAGCATAAAATGGCATCAGAGACTTGTCTAAACAGTTAAAGATTTTAATTTTCCAGAGGTTATTCAAGAGCAAAGTAACATTTAAGTCAAACAGTTGTAGCATAAAATGGTATCAGAGGCTTGTCTAAACAGTTTCCAGTTTTAAAATAAAAACGGTTTTTCAAGAGCAAAGTGATATTTAAGTTCGCTTTTATTATTGAGTCAAGCCTCAGTTTTTTTTTAAATTTTATGATAGTTCTGATATATGGCTAGAGGAAAATAATATTTAAAAAATTTTTTTTAAATATTACGTAAAAGCTTTGCATTTAACATATAAAAAATATTAAATCCATGAATTTTTTTTTTTGGAAATTAAATTTTCAAAAAGTTGCATATTATAAGAAATTTAAAGATAGTCTTTTTTTTTTGATTTTATTTAGGGAGGGAGGGGAGGAGGAGTCGTATATCTCAAAATTTATGGCAAAAAAAACAAACGAATACTACTCATTCATTAGAAGGTATCCATTTTATTCCGTTGCTAGTTTCTGTAATATGTGGCCTTACCTAACGGAACTCTTGTTTGTCTTGTTAAAAAATTTGCGAAAGAAATCAACTCTACTTACATTATAGTGCGCACAAATTTAGCCTTTTTAAAGTTTTATATTATTCAATTGCAATTTTATTATTATTTCTCCATTTTTTAAGATCCGGGAAAAATTTTGTCCGTCAGTTCTACGCATGTTTGGTTTACAAATCCATCTTCGATTAGTATTTTCTTAAAAATTAACGTTATATTTAATTTTATTTTTAATTACAACTTCTTTCTCAAAAGAAAAATGTATTATCAATAGTACTTGGGATCGTTTGGCTCAAGAAGGTATTGGAAATTATGATTGGATCAAAGAAAGGAAAAGGCGTCAAAATATATAAATTTTCTTTTACAGCTTGAATTATAGGCTCTCCGTTTTTTTCCTTTCTCTTATACATGTTAGGTTAAACGAAATATTGAGTTCAATGAATTGCCGGATGTATTCGAAAATAAACGTCTCACTGTGTACATGTCAACATATCATCACCTATTGATTTTAAAAATAGTTATTTTAATATTCCAAATTTGTTTAATTAACTTCGCGATATCTCCAACACAAATTTTTTGCATCCAAGATTAAATGGTTAAGGATTATTCAGCTGTTATTTTTTAATGGAAATGTCTATCAAATCATAAAGGATAACAAATATAAGAGAAAGAAAAAAAATGAAAGCTTCTAATTCTAGCTGTAAAAAAATGGTTTACTTTTTGATGCTCCTTCCTTCCTTGATCCAATTGTGACTCTTCCATCTTATGATTCAAATTTCTCCAAGTGATAGCGAGAATGTATTTCTCTTGAAGCGGAAGTTAGAATGAAAACATAATATTATGTTAATTTTAGTCAAACTCGTCAAGATGGAATTGCCACTCACACTTACATATTACTCATGTGAAGAAAGAAAGATAAAAATGGGAATAAATCTCAGACAAATTTTTTTTAAAGAGAACTTGAAAGTGGAGAAGTAATGATTTAATTACAAATTGTATAATATAATTCATTGACATTAATACTAAACTAGACTGGTGGAACATTTACACATTGAAATCAGCTGTAGTCAATGCGTTTGACTGTAGTGGACGCCATTGGAAGGCATTCTGTTTAAATGCTTTCACGCTTCTTCTAAATGGCTTTCAATGGCGGACGGAATGAATCATTAGTGTAGGGTTAGTATTAATGTCATTGGATATACTACACATGTTTTTTTTAAAGTTGTATTGAAGGTATCGGAATTCTGATTAATCATCCTTACAATTTAAGAATTGATAAAAAAAGAATATAATAAATTAATTTTAATATTACAATTTTGTTTTAGGTTAATTCTTGAGTGGTAAGGTGCAAAATAACTCATATAGTTAGATGGATATCACCACCCCCTCCCCTTTGTAAACACTATTATATCTAACTAAAAGATCTCTATGGACTGGCCGGCTAGCTGATATTATAATTTTTAGCAAACCTGGGCTAGGTCCAAAGGGTTTTGAAAATTTTTTTTAAATGGGCTCAGACCTAAATTTTTAAAAATTTAAATTTAGCTTAAAAAAAAATTTGCAATTTTTTTTGCTTTTATTTAATGTGGATCAGGGCCGGGTTCGATCAAAAAACTAAGTCCATGAAAGACTCTCTGATCTCACTCAAATTTCTATAATTAAACTTTGCTGATATAGACATTTTTTAATTTATTAACCCTTTGAATTAATTATAAATATAAAAATTTTTGAAAATTAAAATATAAAATTAAAAATTTATGGAAAATTTTTTGAAAAGATTTATCGAAAAATAAAGGAAAATTTTCTTTGTATGTTATATTTTATTATATTATTTTTTTTTTACTATACAAAAATTTATTTATAACATGTAACTGAAAAATTTCATTTATTTCTCAAACAAAGAAACAATATAATATAATAACCAACACAGGAGCAACAATAAAATATATATTATATTTTAGAATTGCTTTATTTTTCTAATATTAGCATAAATTATATATAATCTAATAATAATATATTGAAGATTCCAAATATTAAGAATAATAACATTTAAATCTATAAATATTGCTCGAATTAAATCGTAGGAGACTGCGCAGTGTATTGGACATATATATTATAGGCGTCTTTTATAGTATATGGTCTAGGTAGGAATATTTCTCCATTTATTTTATTTATGTGCATTCTTTTTATCGTGCAAAAATTTGCTTCTTTATAATTTTCTAACCTTTATTTGGAGGGTGGGAAGACGGAATGTTTTCGCGTCACGCGTTATCACTTCCACCCACGTCTTCGTTAGTCTTTGTCAAGTCGAGGGTGAAACTCGTGATAGGTGAGATGAAAACAATGGGCCCTTTAATTTTTCTTCTTATTTTTATTTCTCTCACCTCTTTTTTTTAATGTTTCCAAATGCATTGTTCACAAAGCTTTACTTCCATTACAATATATTATGTATTGAGTCTAAGTATTGGATCTTAGAATTTACTGGAGTATTAGGAATTTATCCTAAATCAATACATGCAAGGTATTATTGATATAACCCATCTCTGCTTATTATTACTGTAAATACTCCAAATTTTAATAGGAACCCCACTAATAGTACGGATCCTGTATTAGGAATTTATCCTAAATCATTACATGCAAGGTATTATTGATTAACCCTTCTCTGCTTATTATTACTGTAAATACTCCTAATTTTAATAGGAACTCCGCTAATAGTACGGATCCTGATGTCGACGATTGGCACAGCTATCCATTACGATATGTTATATATTTTTTTTTATAAAGACCATTTAATTGCCCTTGTTTATATTTAGGAACGTTTCGATAAGGATGAGGGGGGATGAAGGAATTCAAAAGATAGGATTCGACAATTTGCCCGTCTGCAATTACGGTTCAATGGCGTCTACTCATCAAAATCTTCCAACATCCGCTTATTTTTCGGTAAAAAAAATAAATAATATTTCGCAAGAATAGTTTATTATGACAACCTTTTTGAGGAATTTTGCGTATATGGACCAAGGACAGCCCCCAAACCCGGTATACTTTGGAATGGGGTCGGTTTGGTCCTTGGAAAATTGCTTTCTTAAATTTTTTCGACAAAATTTTGGTGACGAAAAAATTTAAATTTTAGATCCCCCCCCCCTACTTTCCGGCGTAACGTCCCAGAATCACTCATGTATTTAAATCATTCTTTATGGCTTATTTTAATGAGTAAATTTAATACTTATTCTTCTATTATAATATATTTAAATATCTGAGTAAGTTGCAATAATGATATATTTTTAAAATATGTTTTATAATTTAATTTCAATTTTTTCTAACTTGTCAATCAAAAAACATAAATTTTCTATAAAATTATTATTTTTGACCATTTTCCTCTTAGCCATGACAGTTGATAATGAAGAAAGTAAATTAAATATTTAATATTTATATAACTTTTTTAGATTATGAAGAAATTAAAAACTTCATAATGTACCATAAGTATCCCACCCGTTTAGCTAAGAACAATGAGGAAAAGAGGAATTTAAGGGTCAAAGCATTTAGGTTTACTATGCGCAAAGAAAAATTATATCACCATAAAAATAATGGGGAAGTTATTATTAACATAATTAGGAGAAAAGAAATTATTAAATCACATCACAGTGGTTGTGATTATAATATTGAAGCAGTCTCTCTTGCTGGCCATTTTGGCATTAACAAGACATATAAAAAATTGGCTGATAGGTAAAATGTATTTATTGTCAAAATTAATATTATATTTAAGCTTCTGGTGGCCAAATATGAAAAATGATGTAGTCACATTTATTAATTCCTGTGACACTTGTCAAAGAAGATTTGATAAAACTACAAATGAGTTACAATCAATTCCTGTTAAAGCAAAGGTAGTAAAATTTATTATATAAAAATAATTGATTTGTTAAATTTTTTATAGTTTTAGTCATTTTAACTGTATATAATGTTTTTTATATATTTTTTACTTATAGTTTTATTAATGGTATGACAATATTATATATATGTGACACTTATTTTTGTATATTATGTTATTTTCACATATTGAACCATTTAAATTTTAAGTTAGTTTATTATATCTTTTCCTTATTAGAAGAACCATATAAAGTGGTAGGTAAGCAAATTTATTAAATTATCCATTGAATCTTTTTACATGAAATATATGATATATCCATTTTAGTTTATATAGTAAAGCCTCTACAATTTCAGGTTATAATTTATATGAATTTTTTTACTTGCCCATCTCTAACCTTTTAACCACACTAAAATTAATTAACAAGATTAATTTTTTTTAATATAAAAAAAATTTTTTTATAACAGGTATGGTCACAAATACGAGTAGATTTGTGTACTTTGCCAGAAAGTGAGGATGGCTATAAATATATTGCAGTAGCTGTTGATTACTTCAGCAAATATGTTGTAGCCCTGCCTTTAAAGGATAAAACTGCTATCTCCTTATCGAAATTCCTTCATTCATTACTATGCACATATGGCAGGTCAAAAGTATGATTTATTTGATAATAAATATTAATTTTAGTTTTAAGATTCAAATTAATGATCAAAGACGGGAGTTTGTGAATGAAGTTAGCACTAATTATCACAAACTCGTGGGGACCATGCAGAGGGTGACAAGTGCTTATCACCCTCAAGCAAATGGCATGGTTGAAAGGGTGAATAGAACTATCCAAAATGCACTTCTAAAGTGTATTAAAGATGATCAATTGACTTGGACAGATGCCCTGCCTGGCATATTATTTGTCTATAACGTATCTGATCATGAATCTTCGAAATTCACGCCCTTTGAGCTGATGTATGGTAGAAAAGCAATACTGGGAAAAATACTCCCTATAAAATCAATGATAAGGTGTTTTTCTGAAACAGCCGTCGAGCTGATAGGAAGGGTGGAAAAATGACACGGCCTTGGCTGGGCCCTTTTACAATAGTTGGGATTGACAAAAGTATAAATTATGATTTTTAACAACAAAATATTTATAATATTTAGGCAATGTAGAGCTAATGAATGCCTGTGGTAAACAGATAAAAACCCGAGCAAATATTTGTAACTGTAATCCCTCTGCTGCTTAAGCTGGGCTAAATTAATATTGTCTATGGCAATATTATGTATGTCTTGCATCTTGCAAACAACACTTTGAAAATGTTTTTCCCTATCTATCTCCTCAACATTATCTGGACATAATCTTCATTATCCTTAAATATAATTAAGTATAAAATATATAGTATATGATTTATAATTGGTTTATTATACCCCACAAGCTTGTATTGCTTTTCTACCATACATCAGCTCAAAGGGCGTGAATTTCGAAGATTCATGATCAGATGTGTTATAGGCAAATAATATGCCAGGCAGGGCATCTGTCCAAGTCAATTGATCATCTTTAATACCAGGGTTTCGAACCGTTTAGTATAACGGTTCGGTTCGTTCCGGTTTTTAGTTTAAAATTTTATAAAGGTTTTGTTCCATTTCGGTTTTTTAAAAAAATAATCATTTCGGTTCGGTTCGGTTTATAATTTATAACGGTTCTTTTCGGTTTGTTCCGGTTTTTATAAATTTAATTTTAAAAAAAATTAATCATTAACCATGTATATATTAATTTTAGAGAAAAATCTTTTTATAATTTCTTATTTAATTTAACCATGAATGATAATCTAATAGATATTTTTATTAAACTTAGTAAATATAAATTAGACAAATCAATTCTTTTTATTTCATAAATAAGATAAACACAATGCGCAAATACAATGAGGAATAAAATAACACATAAATATAATGAAATTTATATTATTTATTTTTAAAAAGAGAATTGGAACGGATAACTAAAATATTTTCTAATATTTCAGGATTTAATTTAGTTCTTTGCGCAGAGAGTATAAACTTAAGGCTAGAAAATGCTCTTTCTACGGATACCTGCGTAGCTGGAACTGCTAGCACAACCATAGCTAACTTATAAAGTTCTGGCATACTATTCTTTACATTTTCCCAATAATTCAAAAGATTTGCATCTTTTTCTAATCTCTCTATATTATCAAATGACCGAATTATATACTCTATTTCTACACATTTATTATAATTTTCTATGCCCTGAGAACTATTCTTATTAAGGCTTTCATGCGACATTAATAAATCTTCAAAATCATCTAAGTTATCTTTCGAGTGTGAACACGTAGGAATAGTATCTAGATTTTCAATATTCTGATTATTTAAATTTTGGATTAAGTTCCAAGTTTTATAAAGATGTTTTTTGGCGATATCTTTTTCTTCAAATGATCAAAATACATTATATCTTGGGTCGAGATATATAGCTGAGCAAAAAACTTCATTTTTCAAATTAATCTCTCGTGCTTTGATTGTACAAACTAAAAGTTTGGCAAACGAAGTGTCTATTTTGCTAGTTTGCATGATACATTTGATCCATGCTGCATAAAAATCGCCCATGGTCATTTGTTCACTTTGTATATATTTTGTCAAAATATAAGATGGATATAAAGCTTTTAATATATCACTAATTATTTTCCATTCATTCTCTGACAAATATTTTTCACGATCATTACTTTGGGCCGATATTTCTTGGCAAAAGTTTTTTAACTCTAATAATCTTTCCAACATTAAATAGATTGAATTCCATCTTGTGCAACAATCTATTAGTGGCTTTTTTAAATTTAATTTGGACAAAATAGACATTGTAGTCTGATTTCTTATTTTTTTGCAAATGTTTCTTGCTTTATTAATAATAACAATTTCATTTGAATTTTTTATGCAATCATTAATTGCTAATTGAAATGTGTGGGAGGCACATCTAATGCCCATTAACATGGATCTCGTATGAGGTACAAGATTAATACTTTCAATATTAAAAAAAGGTTCTTCATTTTCATTAACAATTATATCATCATTGTTATTTAAATTATTATTATCTAAATAATCATTAAGGATATCATCTTCATCATCTTCTTCATCATGATGTATTAACAGCTTGATTAATTTAATCATGTTAGCTGCATTGTCTGTGGTTATCGTATAAATTTGATCAATTCTTATTTCATGTTCGTTTAGAACATCTAGAATAATTTTTTTTAGATATTCTGATGAATGTCTTTCTTTTATCTCTTTCATGCATAACGTTCTTAATTTTATTTCTTCATTATCTATAAATTGAATATTGATCCCCAGTATGGATCTATCATATCGAGTTGCAATATCTAATTTTAACGATATAAGTTTTTGGTATATTTCTTTTTTTAAATTTTGCGAAAAATCAAATGCCATTTTTTTAATATTATTGCGTATATTTTCAGAATTGATGGTTAAATTACCACCCAATCCTACAATTATCGGATCTATAATATTTCTAAATGCTTTGTCATCAATTGATTTTATTGGTCTCCCATGAACTGTGATTAACTCAGTGCAGGAGCGGATTAAAGTGTCTTTATTAATATTAATTTGTATTGTATTAGTTTTGGTAAAAGCATTTTGAATTGTATTATGATTATTTGCATTTTTTGTTATTGTTTTTTTAATAGTTAAATTATCTTCTTTTTTTTTTTAATAATTTGAATTCCTTATCGTGGAATCTTTCTATATGTAGTTCAAGATTTGCTGCATGGTCCCCGGTTAAAACTTTACCACAGTTTTCTAGTTTACAAGTAGATTGATTTTTTACAATATCTAATTTAAAATATGATCGCACAGGATTTGACTTTTCCCGAACCATTTAATAGATACTAATATGCTATATGATGATGAATAGATCAGAATCTTTTATTATAAAAATAGAATAAATAAATTTCTTAATAGAATCAGTATAATTTTTTATTTATCTTATCTGACAAGATCTCCCCCAAAAACGTGAATTATATGCAGGCCTACCCTTCATATAATTATGCGGATTTTTTCCTCAAAGATACTAACAACAAACCTTGTACACAGATGAAACTAAATAAGTGAATGGAGCTTACTAATACCATTTTAATAAATAATTTGATTTAATAGAGAAAAGAAAGAAGCAAAAAGATAAGATATAAAATAAGAAGAAAAGAAATAGAAAAGCTGTTTAAAATTCCAAAAACAACTGTCTTTTATTAAAAAATTAAAGTTAATTAAATTAAAACTTTAATGGATACTTTATCATTTTATAATTATCCAATTGAATTTCATGTGTTTAAATTTTATTTGGTACTATAAGATTTAGAAGGTTAATCAGTAAGTAGTTATTATTTCAAGAAATTATCCACTAAAGTGTAAATGGAAATAAATAAATTAACCATAAAATACAGGAATATTAATTAACAATCATATGTTTTTTTTTAATTTCAGAATTCTAATATTCATTTAAGTCATTATAAATTATTCATTATGAAAATATTAATTAATAAGAAATTAATATAAAACAGTATTTTATTAAAAGTAATCAGTACCTGATTTTCTTTAGATGTTAGTTAGAATTATGATTTTTCCCAAATTATTAGCAAGTATTAATAAGCTAATTAATAACTAATATACATATATATATATATATATAAGAATAAACTTGTTAATTTAAAGAATAGTCTTGTTTGATTTTAAGATTCTTATCTAATTAACTGGTAATTCGCCTAATCTCTATTAAATTGACTATTTATTAAAGTGAAAAGAAAAAACAATAAACATGGTGGTATTAATTGACATGTAAAAAAAATTCAATTTGAAAAGAAATAAAGAGTTTAAAAATTTCCCCAAGGAAAATTCAAATTTCAAATTAAGGTTAATAATGTTTAAATTTAATTATTTTTTAAAACCGTTTTGAACCGGTTTAAACCGGTTTAAAATATTTATAACGGTTCGGTTCGCTCTTTTTATAGTTTCTTTATAACGGTTCGGTTACGGTTCAGAAAATTATAACGGTTCATTCCGGTTTGGCGGTTCGGTTCGGTTCGAAACCCTGTTTAATACACTTTAGAAGTGCATTTTGGATAGTTCTATTCACCCTTTCAACCATGCCATTTGCTTGAGGGTGATAAGCACTTGTCACCCTCTGCATGGTCCCCACGAGTTTGTGATAATTAGTGCTAACTTCATTCACAAACTCCCGTCCTTGATCATTATTTTGAATCTTAAAACTAAAATTAATATTTATTATCAAATAAATCATACTTTTGCCCTGCCATATGTGCATAGTAATGAATTAAGGAATTTCGATACTGAGTTAGCAGTTTTATCCTTTAAAGGCATGGCTACAACATATTTACTGAAATGGTTCTTCTAATAAGGAAAGAAGATATAATAAACTAACTTAAAATTTAAATGGTTCAATATGTGAAAATAACATAATATATAAAAGTAAGTGTCACATATATATAATATTGTCATACACCATTATTAAAACTATAAGTAAAAAATATATGAAAAACATTATATACAGTTAAAATGACTAAAACTATAAAAAATTTAACAAATCAATTATTTTTATATAATAAATTTTACTACCTTTGCTCTAACAGGAATTGATTGTAACTCATTTGTAGTTTTATCAAATCTTCTTTGACAAGTGTCACAGGAATTAATAAATGTGACTACATCATTTTTCATATTTGGCCACCAGAAGCTTAAATATAATATTAATTTTGACAATAAATACATTTTACCTATCCAATTTTTTATATGTCTTGTTAATGCCAAAATGGCCAGCAAGAGAGACTGCTTCAATATTATCATCACAACAACTGTGATGTGATTTAATAATTTCTTTTCTCCTAATTATGTTAATAATAATTTCCCCATTATTTTTATGGTGATATAATTTTTCTTTGTGCATAGTAAACCTAGATGCTTTCACCCTTAAATTCCTCTTTTCCCCATTGTTCTTTGCTAAACGGGTGGGATACTTATGGTACATTATGAAGTTTTTAATTTCTTCATAATCTAAAAAAGTTATATAAATATTAAAATTTAATTTACTTTCTTCATTATCAACTGTCATGGCTAAGAGGAAAATGGTCAAAAATAATAATTTTATAGAAAATTTATGTTTTTTGATTGACAAGTTAGAAAAAATTGAAATTAAATTATAAAAACATTTTTTAAAAATATATCATTATTGCAAATACACTGGTAAAAACTTACTCAGATATGTAAATACATTATAATAGAAGAATAAGTATTAAATTTACTCATTAAAATAGGCCATAAAGAGTGATTTAAATACATGAGTGATTCTGGGATGTTACACCGGATTTGAGTCCATAACCATGCAAATAAATAACATTTCTTTTTTAAGATTTATTCTATATTTATACTTTTAATTATTGTTGTTATGTCGCATAACTTTAGCCAATTCCAATATAGCCAAGCTTTTAACCTAAAAAAATAGACTAAAACCTCTAAGTTGAAGCTTAATCTTAAATATTGGAACTAATTCTTTAAGGATGAAACTTGACAGAGCCATTTTGGAATTGGTCAAAGTTAGGTGATTTAACAACACTACTTTTAATCTTTATTATTTCCTTGCTTCCATTTTTCCCCTCTTTCTTACGTACTTTTCGAACTCTAACTGTCTTGTTGAAAAAAATTAAAATGCTTTACCGCTAAAATTTTTTAATAGACGCCTACCACTACCCCGATAGAATCTCTGTTATTTTCTACTAACAACGCTAAAAAGATTAACCCTACTACCAGTATAAATGATAATACTACTTTTAACAACTCCTCGAACATTTCATCTTCCAATCACAAACACGTAGTAAATACGAGTGGGAGAATCAAGAACGAACCTAAGAACAACGTCTCCGTGACGCGGAGGCAAAAGTTGCCTCCGAATCAATTGTTTTTATTGAAAAAGAAAAGTAAGATTTAATTTTAGTTAATTAATGTTTTGTTCTTCCCTCAGAGTTTTATTTTAAGTTTTAAAAATAATATAACTTATCGATTTGGATGTTTTAAAAAAATGATTATATATAAAATTCACTGTAACAAAAATTTTTTACACGGTATAATTCTTCAAGCTCCATCCCTCTCCCAAAAAATGAGTTAAAATGTTCTTTATTTTAGCGGTGACCTGCAGAGGTCAAAATCTTTGCCAGGTCTTGATCTTAAAACCATACCGTTTTATGGCTCGGTCCTATATACGGGTCAGGTCTCGGGCGGATCACTCTTATAATGTATAGTAGAACGAGTTTATCTCTAAATCAACGAGGCTTGTACATTTATGATTACGAATACCGTTTTTACATGGCTCGAAGCCAATTTTTTTAAAAACCGGCTAAGTCAAAATTTTTAGCCAAAATTTTTTTGATTTTTTCTCATAGATAGCAGAGAAAAATTCGAAACTACAATTGGCAGCAAAATCTCGAGGCTTAGATAATATTATTTTGAAAGAAATGCGGGGATTCTTCATTCAGCCGTTTTTTTTAGGAATCGAGTAGTGGAGTTAGCCGTTTTTAAAAATATGCTGAATTGAGCCGTTTAACAACACTAGTTGTAATAACCCGATTATGAACCTGAGTTTCTATCTTGAAAACTATAGGATTAAAACGTTTCCTCAAAAAAAATAATGAAATATTCTATAATATTTATGGCACTAATTTTGTTACATTCCTTTTTTTTTAAAGCTATATATATTTTAAAATATAAATAGAACCTCTAATCAAACTAACCGAAACCAAATCGACTTCTATTAACAAACATAATAATAACGTATCTTTCTCCCATTCTTCTTCTTCTTTCGACGAACCTCCGATCCACGCTACTAGCGAAGACAAAATCCCCCTTTGTTCCCGTCACAACGTTAATCAAACTTTTCAACCCGTCGATCGTGATAAAAGCCAAGTCGTTCTGGGCGACGAAGGGGTTAAGAGGAATAAATACGATAAGTTAGTCACGAACTCTTACGCAAACGATAATAATTTTGACCAAAGCTCCACCAACCCAGAATCTAACATTGCACATAAATCTTATCATCGATCACCTGATTCCAAAAATTATGATAGCTCGCTAACGACAACCTATAATCGCAATAAGAAATTCAAAAAATTTGACAGCGTCGCGATGAGCGAGAGCTGCGAAAAGTTGACTTCTCCCCCGGACCAATCTCGCAATATCATCACGTGCCACAAAGAAAAAAGCTATGATCCCAGGTTTGTCATTGTCGCCAAATCTGCAACCGAAAAATCTAACTATGATCACGATCATAATGAAGGGCATACCGATCAAAAATCGAACCTAAGAAAGAGGGAAAAAGAGAATGAGCCGACTAATTCAAATAATATCACAAGACAAAATCTCTTCGAAGACCATCCCTTTAAGAAAACGCTAAAGTTCTGCATTCAGTCCGGAATTCCTACCAATCTGACCGATTCCTACGATTTTTACGATGGCGTCAATACGAACGACGCCGAAAACATCGTAAATATCGCGGGCGAGCCTAACGTCAACCTCAAAAACCACGGTTTTGAAAAGAATATTGATGCGGCGGTGGATGCCAGAAAGGAGGATTACGGGAATGGTACCAACAATATCGCCATAAATATCCCTATAAAAATGAATAAAGAATCCGCGAAAAGTCGCGAATATAATAACATGTTAATAGCACGTGACGAACGAGATATCAAAATGGTTGCAAAACCCGTGACCTTGATCAACCACCATTCAAAACACGATAATTATATCGCCACCAGTCATACAGGAAATTATAATAACGTCCCATACGTAAAACCAACCAAAAGAAATCACAATTTTAACATGGCTTCCGGTGGAATAGGACAAATTATGCTTCCGTCGCTCCCTATGCCCATCATGAAGCTCAGTTCCGTGTGAGGCCATAAGTCACTTTAAATATTTGCGTACGATTTTTTTTAAAAATAACCAATCATGAAGATGAAATTTTGAACGAATGGGTGAATTAGAAGGATGAAATGAATTGACCCCGAAGTGCTTTTTGGCTAACTACAAAAAAAAATAATATTTATTTTTGTATATTGATTGAATTTTAGAATTGTAGCTTTTTTTTATTTTATTTTTTACATATTATATATAAACTCGCGTTCTATAAAAATTCCTTGTATATATAAATATATTTCGCCTTTTTTTTCTAAAAATTATAAATAATTGTGATAAGACTTTGATGATAATATTTAAAAAAAAAAATTTATCATAATTTTTTATAAAAATTTAACATTATAAAAAAAAAAATTCTTTTTTTTCAATGACCACATAATAACAATAACCAAATGACCATTTGTTTCTCTTATAGTGCGTACAAATTGAACGTTTCAACGCAGCGTTTTAAATCGCATATCAATAATTTAAAATACAAAACGCAAACGTACTCAATTTAAACGAATGCAATTAAAATGTTTGAAACGCAGCGTTGAAATGTTCAATTTGTGCGCACTATTATTGGCGAAGCAATGATGGGGAAATATTAGTATTACGTTTGTATATTACGAAACACGATTTAGCTAGATTATTATAATCCTGTGCAGCAAATTAATAAAATGGCAAATCCGCGCGAAACAATTTTAAGGCGAAAAGCAATAATTCGATATTACGTTTCTATATAATGTGTAATTTGCTTGATTGTTCTCTGTAAAAATTATTTTATGCAAATGTCGCCAAAAAAATAATCGGAAAATCGTTATTTCCATTTTAACCTTTAATTATTTTTTTTTCTCCATTATTTTTGTCATTTAAAATCGTTTGTAAAAAAAGAAGTAATATTAGACACCCATTTTTATTATTATGCACGTGACCCTTTGCGTTCAGATTAAAATAACTAACCTTGCATTTACAGTTAGAAGGGTTTGCGGCGAAATATATAAAATATTATATACGCATAATAATTTAAATTTTTGTATACTTCATCGCTAATTCCCTCTCACTGAATGTAGGATGATACCCCAACCACGCTACGTGTTTATAGCGTTTTTTTTATTATATGAAATTAATTATTTTTTTATTTTATACATACTTAATATCTGAGATTAAAAAAAAATTCACATGATTATAAAAATAATGAAGGAACAAAAATAAACTCAGTATTTTTATATATTATTTATTAAATTGTGAATTTAATAATTTAAAAAATAAATTAGTAAAATATAAATGGGTGATTATTCCCTCTGATTGCTTTAATTTAGTAATGCCAATTACCATATTTTGTTGTCGGGTGAAATTAAAAGTTTATTTAAATCTTAATTAAGTAGTTATTTTTTATTATTTTAATAAGGGTGTTTAACCAAATCGAAACGAATTATAGACGAAAATCTTAAAAAGAGATCACGAAGTAATTCATAACCGGTTTTAAAATAATATTTAATAATTTTATAATATAGGCCAAATTTTAAAAATTTATACAAAGCATCAGACTTGTATGTGGTCATATAATTTTATATTAATTTGTTGTTTATTATTCGACATAATAAAAAATAAAGCTCATTCAACTTATATTTTCTTTAATTTTTTTTTGTTAAGTCTCATCACTAAAAAGTAACTTATTATTTATTATATTTTTTGAAAAATAAGTAAATTTTAAAAAATAGTTACTCAATGCAGATCAGGTATGTTAACCCGAACTGTAAACCTTACTTGCTAAAACCAGACACGGACCGGCCTTTTTGGAGGGTTCTAGATGTTAAGAAAATATATAATGAATCTCGCAAGTTTCTAATGAGATTCATAAATGGTATTTTCATTATTGACGAATATGATTAGCAAGGACACTTATTATATTCCAGCGATATATGGATGAGTTGTTAAAAGATTCTCAAATGATCGGGGCATATTATATGACGTTATTATCTCTGGTCGAAACGATTAGGTAGCATATAAGAAAGTTGCGAACAGTTATAAATTTTATAAATGGCTGGTCTTAAGGCAAAACTGTAGAAAGTTAGATTTTTACTAAAAACCTGATTATTAACAAGATTCCTTTGAAGAGGTTATAAAATTATTGTCATCCGATGAAACGTTAATTCTTTATAACGCGTAGTATTCCGACTCATAGAAGTTAATCGGAAGTTACAGAAATAGTTGTGCTAGTAAAAATAGCAGTTACATATAATAAATTTCGTTGTTTATCAAGAAACCGTAAATTAACAATGAGGTTCATTGAGGAAATTAAAAAATATATTATAAACGATTATTTTATGTGATAAATGTGAATAGATATATGGTATTCTTATAGTTTTCTAATTCTGGTGCCATAATTTCTAGCCTTCCTCCCTCCACTCCTCCCGAACATATAATTTTATCCGCTTTCTTCCTCCTACGAAATAAAAATTGGGAAAAAAATTAAATCTAAATCAAGATGAGAAAAAAAGAAATTTCAATTAATATTATCCCAAACCCTCCTTCTTACACCCATATACTTTGTTAAAAAGCACGATTTGTGTCGATTTTAAAAAACTGTCCGACTAAGAATATAACCAAAATAACATAATGTATATAAGTCTAAAGATTTTGTTCACAGCTGACAGAAATTTAGACATATATTTGCCAAATTTCGATGCTTACATCATATTATTATAGCTAAAATCCTAATTCAGCCCTTTTGAAAATCAATCCAAATTGGGCTTTTTAACAACAATTCATCATATTATGTTCAAATATCGATAGCTTCATCATAACAACCTACACTTCACCAATTTTATTAAGGAGCTTATGTCATAATTAACCCCCCCCCCCCCATCCCCCAAAAAAATTGGTAACTCGAAATAACATATATCGATTCATTGCCTAAAAAAACATTATTTATTAATAATATTATTTTAAATCTTTAACATGTTAATTTTATTTATTACTTTTTTGATTTAAGATTTTACTAATTTTTTTATAAATTAATTTAAAAATATGAACATAACTATTAATTATATATAATATGGCACACAGTAAATTTATTATAATATGACAGATAAAAAAACATTTAAGAAAATAATTTATTTTTTGAAGTTGATTGCCTTGAACTTGAATTGCTCTCCTGTTATCACCTTTCCTATTTTATTCACCTGATTTTGTAAGTTTTTCATATTTCCTACAAACATTATATTAGTTGTAAGCCCAATTTAGGTTAATTTTTAAAAACAACCCGATTGAAATTTTCCAATTAATATGAGGTAATTCTTAAGATTTTTTTCACAGAAAGGTTTGTGCCTTTATCTAATCTCAAGTCATACATTACATTATTTTGGCTAAAATTTGAATTGAGCCATTTTTAAAAATCCACTCAAATAGGGCTTTTAACAACACTGCTTTATATGCTCTATATATATAAATAGCTATATAGTTATTGATTTGCTAGCTATAGCTTGATATAATTTTAAACGATGTTTAAATATGTAATCTTATATAATTCTTAATTATTTCTAGGATTCAAAAACCAGATTTGCATTATAACATCAAAATGCATTACACCAATAAACCAATTCCTACGAGTTATGTTATAAATCATTTTTATAAACCTAGAGATGTTGGAATTTTAGCTATAGAAATATATTATCCTAAATTATATGTTGAGCAATCAGAATTAGAACAATTTGACAATGTTTCAAAAGGTGATATGAGTTTTAAATATTCAGAACACTATTATGTAAAATATTTTTTGTCATTTTATTTAACAACTGTAGCCTAAATATTAATTCATATTATATTTTCCTAATAATTTCTTTCTTAATTAAATAGGTAAATATACTATAGGTTTGGGTCAAGAAAGGATGGGATTTACTGCTGAATGCGAAGATATATACAGTTTATGCTTGACAGTAGTTCAAAACTTGATGGAAAAATATGAATCCATTTCTTATGGAGACATTGGCAGACTTGAAGTAGGCACAGAAACCTTGATAGACAAGTCTAAAAGGTATTATATTGATCATGATAATATTTCAAATTAATAATAATGGGTAATTAATTTTGCCTTTTTTTAGAATAATAAAAAAATATCGATTTAAATGTACCTGATTTATTATGTATGGTTAACTTTCCCTATAATTTTAGAAAAATTTGGTAACCAGTGAGGTTACTTAATTAGGACAAATAAAGTTTTCCCTCGTTACTTCTATATGGAAATATTAGTAGAACAAGAGAATAATTTCCTATTTTAATAGTAGCTTTGCCATGTAATTTCACATAGATTTAAAAAGGTTTTACCTCTTTAAATATCCATTAAATTACTATATTAATATTTTGGGTGTGAATTTTTTAGGTTATAGTCACAAATTTTATTTTTAAATGTATATAAATTTTTTAAAACAATACAAAGGATAGGTTCTAAATCACTAAATATTGGAAATTTCTCTTATATCTCCTAGAATATTTTTTGAAGTAAATTTGAAATTAATATTAATAGATTCCAGGGGAGTAAACACTTGTATTTTGTAAAAATTTTAAAAAAATTGCTAAAAATGGAATTTTTTTTGATAACTTGACTTTAGGCTGTGTCCTAAATTAAAAAAAAAATTCCTCAAAAGTTTTGCGAATTGCAAAACTTTTGTGAGTTTTGAGAGATACGAAACATGTCCCGAATCATACATTTATTTTCAATTTATAATATATAAAATGTTTGATGTGAATGATTTACTAATTCTATATTTTATATTATTTGAAGATAATAAGTTTCATGAGTTTAAACACTTATATAAATCCTCAGAAACTAATATTACTAATACTATACAAATTGTTAAGGCTGACTGCTTATTTCAAAATATTATTTTGTACACAGATTAATTATGAAACCCTTATCAAAATTTTCATATACATTTATTTTTTGATTACCATTACCTTATCTTATGAATGTTTAAATTTGTCAAAGTTATAGCATTTATTTATAAATATTCAATAAAAAGTGCAATAAAAAGTGTTGTTTTACTTAAATCACATTTTCATTAAACATAATTTTTATTATAAAAATATCAGAGACCTGCAGAGGCATCATTTGCATGGCCCGGCCCGGTTTTAAATTTTTTAGGCCCGGCCCGGATATTTTTTTAAAAAATTTTTTTACAGCCTGGCCCGGCCCGGATTTAAAAATTTAACTTGGAATTTTTTAAAATTATATTCGACCTGGTATATACAAAAATTCACCCATGAGGTATTTTACCATATTTTTCAGCAAGTATTATCGCTTATTATTTAAAAAATACATGAAAAAAGCTAATATTTTGAGAATATTATATTGAATTTATAAAAATTATAAAACTGTTATATATAAAACTGTTATTTATAAAAATGGATATTTTGAGCATATGCTATATTTTTTGCATTTATAAAAATAAAACTAATATTCATAAAAATGGTAATAATATTTTGAGCATATACTATATTTTATATTGCATTTAAAAAAAATAAAACTAATATTTAATTTATAAAAATGGAAAATATTTTGAGAATATAATATATTGTATTTAATTTACTATTTAATTTATAAAATAAAAATAAATCGCTATTTTAAAAAAATGCATGTATAATAAATATTTTGAAAATATAATCTAATTGCACAATATTAATATAATTTATTTTAAATATTTTATATTACATTTATAGGTTGGTTTTTCAGGTGTAAAAAAAATTATTAATTTTCATGGATTTACCATCACATTTATGTCTTTTTAGATGTGATGTACCATGTTTATAATTATAAGATAATATACTTGAACAATTCTTACATTGTACGTAGCCAATGTTTTTTTTATTTTCATCTATGATGATGTTAAATTTAGCCCATATTTCAGATTTTAAATTATTATTTGTATTTCTAAAAGAATAAATATTATTTTTAATTTTATTAATTATATCATTAGTATTTTGTGCCATGATATTCCTTTATTTGATTGTTTTGGTAAAATATGTTGTAAAAATTTAGATATGAATTATAAAAAAATATATTAATACTTTGTATAAATTTGCAGGAAATTAATAATTAGATCAATCTGTGGGTGTTAGGTGTGTTAACCATCACCCAATATTATATTAATCATAAATATAATATAATCTTATAACCATAAACTCATAATGTAAAAATTTTTATAAAAAATATTAAGGCCCGGCCCGGGTTCAACAATCTTAGGCCCGGCCCGGATATATTTTAAAAAAAATTTTTAGGCCCGGCCCGGATATATTTAAAAATTTTTTAGGCCCGGCCCAGATATATTTAAAAAATTTTAAATACGGCCCGGGCCGGGTATAGGGCCGGGCCTGCAGGTCTCTGAAAAATATACAAAATTATAAATATGAAAATAATATACAAAATTATAAATAGGAAAATAATATACAAAATTATAAATATGAAGGGAAAATTTCATTTTAAATTCAAAAATTTGTTTCTGATTGACTATATCATTTAACATATCTTGTGTGTTTGGCTCTAAATCCTAAGATATAGATTATTATATAGTTCTAATTTAATGTTATAAAACTTGTGATGATATTTGTACATAAACATATCTTGAATGTTTGGCTCATAATCCTAAAATAATTATATAGTTCTAATTTCATGTTATAATATATGTAGAGATATTTATAAATTAATATCATCTTTAGATTCAAACTGAAACTTGCATCAGTGTGCTTACATATATCCTTCACATTTTCTTTTAGCCAGTAAAAAATCTTCAACAAATTTAAGGTGCTTGCTGTTCATCATAGCCTCCTGAAACTAAAATATAAAATAATATTTATATAATCTCTCCCCATTTGACTTTGCTTGCAGCTGTATCTCTATATTTAATGTCACTATTACACCACTTATGTTATAAGGTCTTATATTTTCCATCAATTGATATTCGTTCGCCATTTTTATTTCCTCAATTTGCAAAAGTTTAATGATAAAATGATTAAAGTTTTACGAATCGTAAAATTTTTAAGAAACACGTAATTTGCGCAAAATCGAAAAAATCATTTAGGCCAACATTTTAATTTTCCATCAAAAATGGCTTGTATTATTTTTTCGCTAGATTCGCGCAAATTGCGCGATATAATTTTTATGCAATTTTTGATATTTAGGACACAGCCTTAATATAAGTTTACAAACACTTGTATTTTATGAAAATTTTAAAAATATTGCTAAAAATGGAATTTTTTTTGATATGACTTTAATATAAGTTTACACTTTAGCATCTATTAATATTAATTTCAAATTTACAAACACTTGTATTTTATGAAAATTTTAAAAAAATTGCTAAAAATGAAATTTTTTTTATAACACGACTTTAATATAAGTTTACACTTTAGCATCTATTAATATTAATTTCAAATTTACTTAATTTTTCTATGAGATATAAGCAAGATTACTAATTTTTAGCGATTTTTGTTTTAGCAATTTAAGAACGCCATTATAAATTATTTATTTAAATAGTAGTAAACTTTAAATTTTTCAAAAATATTTTTAAAAATAGAAGATATCATGGATACCACATCCCCCAGCGATATCAGGAATTATTGAAATTTTTAAATAAGATTAGATAAAAGGGAACATTGCATTGATTGCACCTCCATCTTATTAAATCAGTTTTTATTTAATCATCAAAATTAATAGTTTTATAGCATTAAACATAAGATCTTATTTTATTATAAATTTTAACATTGGAAAATTTAAAAAATAATAAATATATTTCATTAACTCCTCCTATTTCAAATATAAACATTATATAACTTATGTAAATTTGAATGATTAAAAATATATTTAATTTTAATATTTTTGTGGTTTCTATAAAGATGATCTAAGGCATTAAGTTCAAATTTAATATTAAGTGGTTATCCAATACTTGTTATCTTGCCTGAAAGGGTTAAAGGCTTCAAAAGTTATAATTGATAACAAAAAAAATACATTTTTAAATCTGATAAATTAAACACAACCTTTTCTATATTATAATTATAAGCATTTGAACTTTAACACTTAAGGTTTGTGACAATTTTATTCAAAAATTTACTATTTTTAAAATTTGCAGAATATCTTTTATTTGCCCTTTAGTATTTTATTTTTTTTAAAAAAAAATACTTTTTGATAGGCTAGGATTTTCTTAAAAAGGGGTATGTATTTGTAGTTGAAGACTCCCCCACCCTCCCATCTTTGCTCTAAAATAATCACCTGACATTTTTTTTTAGCCTGAATTATGTATAACCTTACATAATTAAAATAATAAATATATTTATACCTTTTGGCCCCAGACATTCCAAGACCCTTATTTCAAATAATTCTTTAAATTGAACTTATTTATTATGAATTTTTTGAATGATTAAGAATAAATGTTATGCAATTTACCAATTTTTTTTTATACTTATAAAGGCTATCTCTAAGCTTGATTTTATTGCTTTTTGAAAGAAAGCTCTTCTCTTTTACCACTAAGATTTATAGATTGTAAAAATATGAAAACTTTTTTTTTGACTCACATTTTTTGCGAAATTAAACTTTACAACCCATATTTTGCGAGATTCACTAGTAAAAAAGAAAAAATTTTTTTTTGTAGGTTACTCATTCATTGATTATCATGCCAAAAATTGTATGAATTGAATGTAATTTCACCACCCTCCCGAAGTAGTTGAAGTATATAGATTCAATATACGTTTTTGTTAGTTTTATAAATAATCGAGTTTGGGTATAGTTGATATATGCAGAGTATTTATGAATAAGTAAATAAAGAAACATTATATTATTATGTTTGTTAAAAAAAATTATAAATATATTGCGTGAAACTTTAATTATAGCTCCTTTGTAAGGGGAGGAAGGTGGGGGTCTCAGCTGAGCTTATAATATTTAACCAACGATATTTTTTTTTCCCCATCCTTCAAATTTATAAATATTTTTTATTATTTTATCGACAAAAGTTATAAATGTAATTATAATAGTATTTTTTTTTGAGTACAGACTCAATCAGGTTTGACTTATAAAATCTCACGTGACCAGATCTTTTAAAATATGTCCACGTAATCGTCTAGAATTTGTATCGGTAAGGATTCCGATTCTAAATTTTTTTTTTATTAAATGCGGTTTTATTTCCGGTTTTTATATTTGACATTTATAAATAAACAAACCATTTTTGTACCCTTTTTGTAGTGCTTTGCTTTTGTATTATATATTATTATTAAAATTTTTATTTTGATATTTGATATCATTCAAATTCACATAAATTCGTAAATTATTGTACAAATAAATATAATTTTAGGTGTTTGGCTTGAATTTCGTTTATTATTTTTTTAACCCTGAAATTTTTTGATGTTGTTTTATAACTTATGTTCTATACTTAACATGAATATTGGCACGGAAAAAAAATGATATCAGGGTGTCATCACCACTGTTCTTCACGTTAATCTGCTCAAACTTTCATATTTAGGAGGAATAATGATATACATGAAAGTTATTGATTTTTTTAAAAATATGTTTTAATTTAAAAATATTAAAATCATAATTTATCCTTATTTTCGGGAAAAAAAAATTTTGTTGTTTTGAGTAGCCTTTGTAACTAGTGTTGTTAAATGGCTCTATTTGAGCCGATTTTTAAAAACGGCTAAGTCGATATTTTAGCCAGAAAAATATTGCATAGGCCTCGGTCCAAACTTTTATGCCACCCATCGATGACCAGAATCTTCAGGCATGCGTAGCTGTAACCTCAGGTGAGTGCATTATATAACCTATAGGATAGATCTAGGCTCGAATCCAGCAATGACCCAGTTTTCCCTGAGAACCAACTAGACGGTTTCGTGCTACGGAGTAGAATATCTTAAGCGACGATCTGACATAATTTACGAAATGGCCAAAGCTATCGGACTCTCGCTCAACCTTAAGCAAATCCGAATTCATCCAATTAAATTTTAACGCTCCTAATACCGATGATTTCAAATTCACTGCACTTGATGAATCAAGACATCTAGGATCTCCTATAGAAGGACATGAGGCAATTTGCACCTTTCTTCATTCCACTCTGCTTAAACTGGAGGACATATTTACTCTTATTCCTTCACACTAGTCCCTTTTTTTGTTAAAAATTTTTTTTTTTTCAGTAGCCTCTTGTCAAAGAAAATAACGAATGCCCATCATTCTAAAGATAACGCTTACTTGGAATGTTGATTCGCATCCCCCCCCCCACAACTCATAGACAGCAGGACAGGGACACGCCAGTAGTTGCTCGCTGCTTTGAAACGATCTTATCTAGCATGCAATTTACTGACCGGACCCTATTCTCTTCCCTGCTCTATGGTACTGAGCATGAGTTTCTCAAGGCCATTCCTTCTGTCGATCTTCAACTTTTCAACAACGAACTTACTCACGCCATCGGTATTCGTCTAAACTGGTTCATCACCCACCCTCACATGTGTTCAAGTTGTAATTCGCCCGTTGACATAAATGGAAGACTTAGTTAACAATGTCGCTCATGCAATGGTCGATTCATCAGACATGCGCAATGTAATTTTATCATCCAACGTGCCTTGAAATCAGCTCAAATGCCATCCATTCTAGTACCCCTGGGTCTTTTTAGATAAGATAGTAAACGTCCTGACGGGATCACTCAAATTACGTGGAGGTGAGGCCAACTATTGGTATGGGACCATTCATGTATTGACCCCCTGGCCCCATCTAACCAAGCCCTCAACATCATTGACCAGAAGGAACAACTTAAAATCTCCAAATACACAGAGATTTCGAATGACCATTGTTTCATTCCTATCATTTCAACTACACTTGCCACCTTCGGCAAACTTGCTCCAGCATTCTTCTAAAATTTCGGACTAATCAGTAAACTCTCAGAAGAACCTCGAGAGGGGTTTTTTCTTCCACAAAGGTTGGTCATAGCTATCCTCAAAGCGAATTACGTCAGCTATGGTAGTCCACTCGCCAAATCCCTACCCTACACCCTTTCTACTTCTTATTTTTTTTCCTCGTTTGTTACTATCCCCGCTCTTTATTTTTTTTTTAATTTTAAAATAAAATATATAATGAAATAAAAGTTATTTTAATTTATAAAAAAAAAAAACAAATAAAAAATAAAATAAATGAAAAATTTTAGAAATTATTGAACCCTAACATTTAAAAAAGAGGTTCGGGGTTCGGTTTCTCGGACCTGCTATTTTTAACAAAATATATATTTTTTTTTTAAAGCATAAAATCCGTTCTCATGCAGCTATTCGAACCGTGCGGGAATTTTGACGTGGAAGGCGTTGACAACATAAACGCTTGCTATGGGGCGACGGCGGCCCTCTTCAATTGTCTCAATTGGATCCATTCTCCGGCTTGGGATGGTACTTTTCTTTTTTTTTTAAAAAAAATTCAAATGTTTACTGACCCTTCAGTATACTCTGGCGTGACGGGGTTATAACCCTCGCGGTCTGAGCCCGAATTTTAAAAAAATGTCCGAATTCGACCCAGGTCCAACCCGACCGGAACCTGAATAATTTATTTTTATAATTTGAGTTTAGGTGGTATAATATGAAGCAATTTTTAAAGATTTTCTCTATTTATTTACATCAGAGTTGTTAAAGGATCTAGATACAAGTATCTAGATCCTGTATCTAGATATAAAAATGTGGTATCTGTACCTGTATCTAGATAGATTTTTGATTAAAATGTCTGTATCTAGATATTGTTTTACACGATGTATCTCTATCCAGATCCATTTAAAAAGTATCTTTTAACAACTCTGATTTACATATTACCACCTTAAATTAAAGTATATTTTAACCCCTCATAATCTATTAATATAGTAGTAGAAAATTACTAATTACTATCATTTCATTACCCACTCTCACAATATTTTTTCATTTAAATTTTATTCGGTTTAAATGTAAAAAGTAAAGTTAAAAAAAAATACAATCGAAATTTACAAATTATTTGTAATTTAAATATATGAAAAAAAATAATTTGCATTTGTTGATGTCAGAAAAAAAAGATGATATAATTATTTATATAAAGATAAAATTTTAATTTCGATATATAAATAATGATGAGTAGGCTTCAAGCAAATCCTTCTGTCCTATTTTAATATTTATATGTCGGGCTCCGGGCGGGACACCTCTTACTGCCCTACCCGAGCCCGAGGAAAAAGTCTTTAATGGCTAAAGCCCGACGATAATCTCACTATCATTAATTATTAGAATCATAATAAATAATGATTAGTCAAGTTTGTCAGGCTTCAAGCTAGGGCCTCCTTTCCTCTTCTAAATTTATATGTCGGGCTTCGGGTGGGACACCTCTTACTGCTCGATCCTAGCCCGAGGAAAGAGTCTTCAATGTCCGAACCCGACCCGAGCCCGTGCAGCACTCTAGGCGGTGTCTAGCACCGCAAGCATGTTAAAAATTATTAAAAAGCGATTATTTTATCGCGATCTTGAATCTTCATATCTCCATCTTATCTTAAAGCCAAATATCCAATTCATTTTGGTTGCAAGTTTAAAAAAAAAATTTCGCCATAATACTGAAGGGTCAACTATTTTAAGTATAGGAGTGATAAGGAGAATATCAAGTGAACGGAATATTTTATAGATAAATAAAGAAAAGAAAAAAAAGAAAAGAAAAATTAAATGAATGGAGAAAAGAAAATAAATTTTTTTTTGGTAAAAACGAAGGAAACCTATTTTTTTTATATGAAAAATAACAAACTTTTATTTAATCAGGCAGGTACGCGTTAGTCGTAGGAGGGGATATCGCTGTTTACGCCGAAGGGCCAGCACGGCCTACGGGCGGTGCGGGAGCTATCGCTATGCTAATCGGCCCTAACGCGCCTCTGGTAGTTGACGACGGTTAGATTTCTATACTATTATATCAAAATTGAATTCTTGATTGACTTAAGAATATTATTCGAGATATTAAAATTTTTCACGGGTAAAATTAGTTTGATTATTTGGTAATGATTTCTTTCAAAATTACGGAATAATGTCGTATTTAAAATTTATATTATATTTATTTTTGATTTTTATAGCTAATAACGACGATTTCAAATATTTGGTTTTGCGATATATGGCCGGGCCCGACCTGGGTATATTTTTAAAAAATTAAAATCCGGGCCGGGTTTAGGGTCGGCCCTGTATGTCTCTGATATATATGTTTAAAAAGGTATTGATCCCCTAGGAAAAAAAAAATAGGATTTAAATTATTAATGTTGCGGAGAGAGTCTTAATAAAAAATCATTTTTTAGATCAAAATATATTTATCTAAAAATTAACGATTTCGTACATATGAAAGTTTTATTTTTTTTGATAATAATAAACAAAAATATTTATCCCCGCCTCCCGGATTTGAAAAAAAATATGACCCGGTTCGGTTTTTATATTTTCAAGCCTGGCCCCGGTTTTTATAAAACGTTTTTGGGCCGGTCACGATTTTTTTTTGAAAATATTTTCGGCCCGAGACTTATAAATATCACCTATTCGGCATTTTACGAATCTTTTTTATGGGAATATGGGGTTGATGATCAATTTTTAAATATTATTTTTTTATAATATTATATTGGCGATTTACAATATTCTGGCCTGTCCGGGTATTTTTTTAAAGATTTTTAGGTACAACCCGACCGGGGTATAGAGGTCCAGCCTCAATTTCAAAATAGTTTTGAAAATCTTTTTTTGACCATTTTCTCAAAAAAAAAATTTTTCGCGGAGATCAAAAAATCAAATTTGTTAGTGCAAAATTTTTTTAGCGATTTTATTTAAAATTTATAAAAAAAACAAAATTTTTTTAAAAATTAGTCAAAGCAACGTTCAGTCAAAACTTGTACGATTTCTACAAACCGAAAATGGAGTCCGAGTACCCTATCGTAGACGGGCCGCTCTCCGTCAAGAGTTATCATCAAGCCCTGGACTATTGTTACGCTAAATATCGTGATAAAATTAAAGGTTTTGTTTTATTTAAAAAAAAAATTTTCCATTCATTTTCTTCGAATTTAAAAAAAAAATAACGGATCGATCCCAATCGGTTATTGGCGGATTTTGATTTTTTCATTCTGAAGGACCTCGACACATTTTTTATGCTCATTTATTTAGAAAGAAAGAAAATTTCTTTTAAGAAAGAAAGGAAGAAGATCGACATTGTTTACGAAATAAAAAAAAAAGCACCAATTTTATTTATAATTTTCTCCATTCTTTTCTTGAAAAAATTCTTTACTTTTTCTTCGATTTATTAATTTTACTTATTTTTTGCAAAAGTTTGGGTCTTATTAGAAATTTTCTGAAATAAAAAAAAAATGGCATGAATTTTCTCTAGGGTGCATTGCAAGAGCTCCGTAACCTACACCATCGTTTAAACTTGATTACATATTTTTTTTTAATAAAACCCGAACTATAGATTGAATAGCAACTTCTTCTCTACGTTTTACGACGTTTTTCCCTTACCCAGGTAGGCCAAGCTTCCCCTCCGATCCCCTTTCTCCATTTTTAAGGCCCCGGGGTATGGCGATTTGTAAGATTCTATTGTTTTTCATTTATCACTCGTTATCACCTTCACCCACTTCGTCTCGTATCTCCCTAAAGCCCTTGATCGCCCTCTATCCCTTTTTAGAATGACATAGATTAGGTACGCAAGTTTATTTTGTGTTAGGTTTCGATATCCGCAATTTTTACGTTTGAAATTTTTTAAATACCCAATTTAGGACACTGGTATTCTCATGTACTAAGGAGTAAAAACAACAAAATCAATTATATATAACATTTAAATGGAAAAAAAATTAGAAAAATGGGTTACAAATTTCGACACCGACTACTTCGATTATCTTTGCTTCCATTCACCCTACTGCAAGCTAGTGGAAAAATCTTTCGCCAGGTTCAATTATTTGGACCATCATTACCATAAAATCTCCTCTGCTATGAAGAATGGATCCTCTTCACCAGATCCATCGATTTATAAAAACTACGACGAGAAATTGCTATCCATTATCGAGTTATTTTTTAAAACGTTTTATTAACTGTTATTTATTTACGGCGCCATTTATCGGGTAAGTTTTGGGCGAATATCTTTTCGGCAAAGCGTTTTATGACAGTTCGCGGATCATCGCAACCATAATTATTTTTAAAGACCCTCTCTGAAAAAATGGCGCTATAAAAAAAATCTATCATATATATATATGTGTTAGCATCAATGTGTTTTTCTGGCAATGTGTTATTTTTATTTTTTAAATTTAAAAATCTCATTTTAACCGGAAATATATTCTATCATGTTTGAAATACCTATCTTATGAATTGTAGACAATTTTGTTGTTAAACATTGAGTCATTTATAATTTATATTAAAAATATATGGAAATTTTAATATAAATTTTAAGTCTAACAATTCATGGAAAAATTGTCTGAAATTCATAGGGTAGTTATACAGGGCGGCATACATTTCCGGTAAAATCAATTTTTTTAATTTTAAAATCGCCCTTTAAAAAACGATTTAAAGTTGAAAAAATACATTGACGCTAACATTGGGAAATATTCGTTTAAATAGTAGATTGTAAAATGTTAGGGTCAATCTAATTAATCTTGATATTTCCAGTCAAATCACATAATTTTAGTAGAATAAATTCCAAAAAGTTCTCTTTTAGGAATAGATATTTCGTTTCTTACACATTTTCTGAAATAATATTTCGTCTATATCAGAATCTTCAAATTAAAAACGCGTTATACATAAATTATTTACCATGCTCGTTTTTAATTTAAAATTTTACAATTTAAAAAAAAAATTAGGATTTTTTACGGGAAATTTAATTTTAGCTATATGTAAGAGATAATTGATCCTCATATAAATTCCCTACAATTCTCTAAGATATTACTCGCAAATTGGCTAAATTGTCGGTAGCCTATATATTTTGTTTCATAATAAAGGAATAAACCGCCGGTTGCCACTTACACGGATAAAGAGGTGGAAAAAGTATTTATGACTTCATCTCGGGCCAGTTTCGAACAAAAGACTCTTCCTAGCTTAGATATAGCTAAGAATATAGGTTTCCTTATCGCTTTATATATATATAATTTATATATTCTCGGTTCTCACTTGCTAACCCTCTTTATCCAGCTTTATTTTGTTAAAATTTTAAGCCAAAATATATTATTTTGAGCACAGAAATATTTGCTGATCGTAATTTGGATTTTATATCATAAAACATATATTTAATGCATAAAAATCGCAAAAGATTTAAAATTTTGGCATAAATTTTATCAAAAAAATAAATGTTTTGTTGAATTTCAAAAAAAAATAAATCTTCATTTGTAAAAATCCTTCAAAGGGATGAAAATCTTTGAAGATTTTTTTTTCAGCTTTAAGAGGCATTTAAAAATGCCCGAAACTTTTCGGGTTTCACGTGATCTGGACCATAAGCTATTCTGAATGAACCATATCATTTATAATGTAATATACTCATCATTAAAATTCCGATAAGCGATTGTGGACCTTATTTTGTACATATTTATAGAAAGGAGATTAAATGGAAGCTTTAAATAATTATGAAATTAGGCATTTCCAATTAGTTAGTATGAGTACCATCTCTCAAGATACGATAGAAAAAACGTATATAAAACTTATAAACGCAAAATAAATCAGTTTGAAAATGTTATTTGGCAGGCCGTTTCGTGAGAGGCAGACTGACACATTGCAATACTATATATTATGTGTATATATTTTGGGGAATTGCTTAGTTTTCTCTTGATCAATCCTTATAATATTTATTTTTTAAAATTTACAATATATTTATTTTTGATATCGTTAAAACACAGGTAACATGTATACTCCTTCGCTTTACGGATCTCTTATGTCTTTACTCATCAAGTGAATATTAATTTTTTTTTGCAAAGTAACAATCATGAATGGAAAGGGATAGGAGTTGGAGGGAATAGGGGTTAGGAGTTAGGAACAATTTTCCACAGGGTTGTAGGAAGGAATTAAAAAACGTTTTTTATATGGAACCTATCAAGAAAATATTGCAATATTTTTCCCCAGGACTGTTGTACGATCGTCTACATCGTAACACCATTCCTTTTAAGTAGGTCTAAACAACATCCCTGGACCTTCACGCCCCTTAAAAGCTTGTCTCTTAATCGTTCCTATCACCTTCTCCCGTTATGGTAGAAAACTGTACGATGAGGTTTCTATTAGATTTTAGCTCAATTTAAAGAGGGGAGATGTAATCGAAACCATTTATAAATATTTGAAACTAAAATTCCGATTGAAACGAAATTGTCGCAATCAATTTATTTTCGATAAATTTGTATATTACCAAGTATCTCGAGTATAGGTTCTGTATAAAACTGATGCTGAAGGAAAAAATATTTTCGGAATTATGAAAACTCTTCCGCCAATGATAGTTTCCTAAAATAAAAATCGGACGGACAAATTCCCAAAATTTATAAATAACAATTTAATCTCTTTTTTTGAATATCAATCGGTGACATATTTTTTTTCTAAGCTTCGGGCAATGACATTTAATATTTTACTGAAGAAGTCTCAAATCTTTGTTGAATACAAACAGCGCCAGTTTCAATATAATCATTTTTTTATGAACTGGTTGTCGACCAGAGCTTATCTACATCAATACTCGTTTTAATTAGCAAATTATCGGTCTAAGTGTGTATTATAGGGCGGTGACATCTTTACGAGTGAGCGCATGAGGGTTCAAACCTCCCTCAAAACTTGGAGGCTTCCCCTGAAAAATATTGGGTATTCTCCCGCCATTCTCATTTAACGCATATTCGATCCGGGCTCGGGTTGGGCCTAAAAAATGTGCTTCGCCGCGGATTCGCTCTAATTGAATACAGGGTTACGCGCGATTTCAGATATAATTTTCATATCTTTTGCTTAATTTTGGAAAGAATAATCCCCCTTTTTATTTCTTTCTAATATAAAAAATGAGCCCGCATAAGTTGGAAAAGCTATCGACGTCATTGATTATATATTGTTGACTTCGGGAAACGTAATGAAATCAGATCACTTTTAATACAAAAAAGAAATATTGTTCCCGTATATAATTTTTGAATGATAAAATGTATAGCTTATTTCAACATTCTCAACCGAACGGTCTCGATCTCAACCCGGTGTTCCCTATAAAAGTTGGCATGTTTTCCTACGGGTCGGGTGCCATAGCAACTCTTTTCTCCATAACAATCACCGAAAAACCGACTTATATCTCCAAAGCCGGAACGAGGTTGCTGAAATGTCGCGGAGAACCTACCGTTTGCCAAAATGGAGGGAATGTTGGGGAAGATGGAAATGAAAAACTCGGTGAAAATATGTTCGCTAGGCTTAAAGTTAATCCCGACGCGTTCGCCAAATTGCTCAAGGAAAGGGAGGCCACTCATTTAACCGGTAAAAATAATTAAAATATCGCATCTTTTATTTTATTGTCCTGTAATATCCATATTCAAAAAAAATATATGATATTTACGCATTTCGACATTATCTGTTTACATTGGAGATAGGTAAGGTTTTTTTTATTATATTTTTTTTGAGCTTATATAACTAGTGTTGTTCTAAATATTTTATCCAAAAATATTACTCAAACCCCAAGATTTTTCCCCATAGATGACACAAATGTTTGGGCATCTATTAGCGAAATCTCGAGGCTCAGGTAATATTTTTTCTGGCTAGAATATTGAATTAGCCATTTTTAAATAATCATCGTCGAGCCCTTTTAACAACACTACTTGAAACCTATTAATTGACACAAAACGTTAAATATAATTTTAGAAGAAAGAAAAAAATCGCGAAATAATTTTTTATATATATATTATTATTTTTTTTATATATAAGCTCCATTTTATCCCAAGTTCGAACCCAACGACTTATGCCCCGGTGCTTTCTATTTGATCGAGTTAGACTCTAAGTATCGTAGAAGATATGGTCGCTACATGCCATAACGCTTGCTCGGAAACAACTTTTATATTATATTATTAATTAACTCGACAAAAAAAAAAGATAATTTTAAATCATGGGAAAAAAAAATGTTTTTTTTTTAAATGAAGAAATACAAATAAAATATTTTTTTGTATGAAATGAGACATCAAGCAACTTTTATACTATTACTCTTACTGCTAAGCGAACCCTCTTAGCCTTTAAAAAAAAATATTTTGTATTTTTTTAACATTGACGCCAATTATTATTGTTTCTAGAATTATAAGTTTAAGGCCCACCCAATAACATATAATAATACCTTGACTCACGATGCATTCATCGTAATGCATTTGAAAGTGTCGTTGAACGCAAATCAGCTGGATATCCGCCATTTTGGTAACGTATATGATAATTATTCTCATGTTAAAAACTACTATTAAATTGATAACTTGCTTCCTTATTATCTCGATGATCAGGCAATTCTTTAATAAAGTTTGCGTCAGGCGTAAGAATAAATTAGCCTCGCGTTTAAAATTTTTAATAATGGGTAATCAAAATGGCGTTCCCAGCTGTTTTTATTGATGTACACTTTTAATGAATGCTTCCTCAGTCTAGGTATTATTATATGTCATTGGGTCTGCGTCCCCACATGTTAGGAAGGAGCAAGTCGAGATTGACGTTCCATACTCTAATTTGTCATTAATTGGGCTCAACGATCTTAGGACATATCCAGACAGAAAGTTATTTCTAGGCATCTTTATGGCCAATTTATTCCGAACGGAGGAAAATAATTGGTCAAATTTTTTTTGTTAACCATTAAATACGCGTCTGGGAGAAGCTGCGACTAGACTTTTTTAAGTAATTTATTCTGCAATAAAATTAATTCGACATCTTATCATCCTTGGAAACATTCCTAGAAAATCTCATCGAAAAGAGATGTGTCCTGAAATAACCTTAAGGATATAATGAATAGAGTCTCGACAAAAGATACATTTGTGTTTTTTAAACTTACAATTCTAGAATGATAATGATTGACGTAGACGTTAAAAGATACAAAATTAAAAATGGGTTAAGTTTTTTTTTTGTTGAAAAAATGTAAGTACATCGCGGACACCGCCTGAGCGTCTAACATAAAAAAAACTTTAAATAGTTGCGTTAGTATACATTGTTGCTTAAACGAGAATTATAAAAAATACATGACCTAACTATTTTGGAGTTAGTTAAGGATAGATGATTTAACAGCACAGGCAGATTAGGCAATGGAAACAGAGCCATTTCTCAAAAAATTGCGAGATATATCTTAGCAGCTGCTAATTTAATGTACTTTTCCTCTCCTTTTTTCCTCCTCATTTTCCTTCAATCATATTTTAATTTTCAACGAAATAATACCCTCGACTAAATATTTCAATTTTATGTCGCATGTCGAAATTGGATTAGAACTTAATATTACTAAAATAACCTATGTTATATTTGTATGAGTCTTCTTCACTTCTTTTTCTATTGTAAAAATATTTGGCCTAAGATTTCTTTTTTTTAATCAACAATTTCGTGAATAAAAAATTTGTTTGATGGGTGTAAGAGTATTAATTTTTAGGAACTAATGCAATATAAATTCTAATAAACAGGCCAAAGTCTTTGGATCAGAAATTCTTCGAATCTTATATTTTTAATCATACTCCTAAGAATTGATCCCTCTATTACATTATTAAATCAGAGCTTGAAAATCCTTACTTTAAATCATGATTTTGATAAAATTTTACATAAAACTCAAAAATTTTGAAAAAAAATATTGGTGTGTAAATCTTTCGTGATTTTTATACATAAGAAATCGTATGAAATCACCAAAAATAAAATTTGATCTTTAGATAAAGAATTTTATTTTCAATCTTCTTTCTTTCTTTAGTATCCTAAAAAATATACAGAGGTAAGTTGCTCTTACTCATAGAAGAAATCGCTGTTAACCCTTGCCATTAGAATGTTAGCAATTTTTTTTTAGTTAACAAACAAATTTGTCGAAGAACTCAGTGCTCTATTGCAAGGATTTTTCTTGAATTAACGAAAATTAGCATCCATTTAGTTAATAAATATTTTGCATTTGATTTGTTCTAAAAAAATTTTGACATTCTTTTATGATGCATAACCGGGATAAAATGAAAGAAATTTCTAAATATATAAAATCCCACTAGGCAAATAAGTATTTTCGATTAAGACAAATTAAAAATATTATTTATTAAATTTTTTTTTAAAAGTATGTTCCTTTATTTAAAATTTTTGGAGCATAAGAATAATAGATATTTTTATTACAGTTTAAAAAAAATATCTATTTTTCCAAAGCAAGTATTACATACCCCATTAACTCTTCTGGGTAAGCATAAGAAATTAAAATATATAGATATAGTCCTTTATATATTTTTAATTATTTACTATATTATATATATATAAATATTATCATTTTTATATATACTTCATATCAACTTAATGTGATTAATAAATTTATTAGATAATATATTTCATTCATAAATAAAATATTTACTACTGAAGAAAATAAAAAAAATATGCACACCATATCTATAAATATATATTGAAAAAAGAAGAAAAAACATAATAATATTTAGGTGATGGGGCTTAATGAAATCGGATGTTCGGAAATTTTAGTGTTTGAGTAAAAATATTTAAATTTGTATAAAACTAAATAGAAAAACAAAATAAAATTTTTTTTAAGAGAAATATGAATTTGTTACAAAAAAAGGAACAATAGTAAATTTTAATATTTATAATTCTTCATTCTGCTTAAGATATAAGAATTCCTAAGATTAAAGTGTTTTTATGAGCTAAAACTTTTTAAAAGCGAAATGATAAATGGTAATTGACTGGTGTTGGTAGTTGCACATCTATCAAGCTTTTTATAATTGATAAAATATTTTTGGCTTCTGATAAGGTAGACAGGTTGCTCTTAATATTATTTGAGGCTGAGACCCACGTATAGTCCCAAATTAGAGATTTACCTATGGTGGCCCAAGGGATAATTGTCAAACTATCTGGTCTTAAGACTATCGTCAGTTGATAAATTACAAGTTAATAGGTTTTTTTAAAAGAAGTCTTTCATATATTTTGTTTATATTTCTGAGTTCTAAAGATCAGTCACCCTGCCATAAAAAAAGGTAAAATATAAATATATACTTTCTTAAGTATCTTTAATAGTGAGACATTTTAAAAAAAGTTTTATTAGAAAGATAATTTTACAAAATCTGAATAAATGACCGAAACGAAAATATAAAGTTACAATCAAATATTCTATATTGATATCAGGATTTGGCAAATTTTCAAAAAAGTATATTTCAAATACAATATAAGTTGGTTTTGTTATATAGGTGATAACAGTGGTGAAAGATAACGGTGGAGATTTTAATTTATAATGATTTTATTCTAAAACTAAAATGATACTTAAAATAAGGTATATATATGTATTATAAAAAAACAATATAAACGAAATACATAGTTAAAGGCTATAATAAGAATTTAAGTTAATAAAAGTAAATCGATCAAACAGGTTTAAAATAAAAAAAGTATTTAAATACATAGTTTAATAAAATAAAAACATCTATCAATACTTTGAGGAATACCTTTTTCAGGTGCATTTTTTTTCTAAATTATATAATATTTTTATTAATAATTTTAATATCAGCAGTACAATAATATAAACATTCGAAGATTTTAAATACGCCTTTTATTTTTGAAGTATTTAAATTACAAATACCAAAACTACTTTCTATGCAAAAATGTATAATCAAAACTGAATAGTAAATATTGAGTAATAATATTATTAAAATAAACAACTAAATATTTTTTATATATAAATATTTTTATAAATATTATTTTTTATTAGCGATGTTTCAATAAAATAATATAACATCTAATCTAATTTAACATAAAATGTTTTTAAGAATAAGTTTTCGTTATTTTTATGTATATTTCTTTATAAATATTACATGAGGTTTAATAATACATGGAAATTTAAAATCCTCAATTTCAAATCAATTACAGAGAGAGATTATAAAAATGGAAAATCTAATTTTATGGAAATGTATTCTAGTGGTGTAGATTAGTGACCAAATAATTCAAAAATTTAATAAACTTATGTTTATTTCTGATTAAATGTGTAATGAAAAAACATATTAAATTTAATATAATAAATGACTTTTAATTCAAAAGTTTATAGCATAAATCTGAATTCCAAATTCTCAAATTAAAAATTTGAATTTTCATTCTACTTTATTTTATCACATCATTTTAGTATTTTATTTTTTTTTTGATTATATTATATAAATATATTGTCGTATAAATAAATTATTAGACTAAAATGATTTATTTAGAACTTATATTTTTGTTATATATTTATTAACACTTTTTACTTTAAAAATATTAAAATTTATAAATTTAAACAACTGAGAGTAACCATTGGTTTATTTCTAGGTTGCGATATAGTACAGCCTCATGCCTGCATCAAATGCAAATCACCCGTTGATTCAAAGGGTAGACATGGCTTAAATTGCATTTTTAGTCAAGGGCGACATCAACGCCACTCATCTGTAAACCATATAATAAATAGAAGCTTAACAGCTGCACACATTTCTAACAATCTCGAACCATCAAATTTATCTCAAGTAGATGGTTTAAGACCTGATGATATGACAACCATACCTTGGGCCCTCGGCAAATCACTCATATGGGACTACACGTGTGTCTCATCATTCTCTTCAAACATAAATTTCAATTTAATAACACAGGCTGAAATTAAAAAGATAAACAAATACAAAAATTTTAAAAACTTTTTATTCACTCCAGTAGTGATTTCTACTAACGGGAATTTTTCGCCTTCAACATTTTTGTTTTTAAAAAATCTTGCTACTAAAATACGACTTTTCACAAATGAACCAAGAGAATTCCTTTTTATTCGACAAAAAATTCAAATGGAAATTTTTAGACACAATTATGATTCCCTTTTGGGGACTCAATTATTGAATTTTATTTTTAATTATATAATTATAAATTTATAAATTATAATATTTTTAATGTAAAATTAATATATAGAACACTTTTTACTTATTAGAACTATATTTTAAAATATTAATTATTATATTAG